AATATCGCCCGTTATTTTGAAATGCATTGTAAACACGTGTCAAGTTACACCGAAGATTAACATTTTACTGTTTCGTACATATATTGATCATTAGATCCAGGCTACATACGGGTTTGATTAACCAAAGCCCATATTTACTGGTATTTACTGCTAAGTTGAATCATTCGTTACTACAGTTGACCACGAAACAAATGAGATTTCAAAAAACTTCAATAATTATTAAAACCAATTAAAACGTCTTGAGTTCCCACGGTAATCCACACCGCCATTGAACCCGTCTCGCTCTAGACTCCGTGTTCCGAGAAACTCCCCACTCCAACCATTGCCTTTTTCAAAGTCAACAGGTAAGACTCAGGTGTCGTCCAGTAGTTAGTGTTTGACTCGACGTTGACACGAACAGTCGTCTATCGGTGATCGCTCATTGTTGTGTGCACAAAATACAATAATTCTTTGAAGTATCAAGATGGTCAACCAAATTGAAATGGGTTCCGGCGCTGGATGTAAATACAATTTGTCTGGAGTACCTCATGGCGGCCGTGGACAAGCTGACGATGGAGTTATCGGGAGCTTTGAGTGTCTATCGGAATTAAACGAACGAGATCAGCAAATTGCCATGTCATCCGGTCCTACTAAAATTATTATATCAAATCTGGACGATCACATTTCCGGATTAGATATCCAAGAGCTGTTCTCAGCATTTGGCACAATTACAAGTGTAAGTATACGTTACAGTAATGGAAAATCCACAGGAACTGCTGAAGTAGTGTATGAGAGAGAAGCCGATGCATTCAAAGCCTGCAGTGAATATAATGGAAAAGCAATAGATGGAAGAAACATGCACATAAAACTTGCAAGCGCCGAGGAAACCAGCGAAGGCAGGCATGACAGTCAAGGCAGCTACTACGGTGGAGGCAGAGGACCGGTTATGACAGGTAGTACATCAACCAGTACCACCAAATTACTCATGACAAATTTGAATGTTCAAGTCTCCGACTCTCACGTACAACAGCTGTTCTCTAAATTTGACAGTTTTATTAGCGCAGGTATTATATTAGATAGCACTGGAAGATCTACAGGTACTGCCGAGATTACTTTCGGGAGGAAAATCGATGCGTTAAAAGCATACGACGCATTCCATGGGAAAATATTAGCTGGAAAAACGATGTTCCTAAAATATTCCGCTCCCGAAATTCCTAATTTCGGTGTTGGTGAAAGCGGAAGCTATAAATGCAGCGGCTACGATCTTCATAAAACGTCTAAAGTTACGTGGCGCAGCCGACGTTGGTGGAATGGTTGGCAACTTTGAAAGTATTCAGAGGTGAAAACATTCCTTCCGCCTATTCGCCCATATAGCCAACCTTGACGACATTCTGCCGCCAGAAGCCTGAGGATTATCTCAACGCGTGTAATTCATCATCGTAACTATAATGAGTATAAGACGTTGACTGCACTACGTAACACCTACGGTAGCAACTTGCTGACCCAGCGTCCGTCGATTCTACGAGCCTGATTTCACAAAACAAAAAGCCCTTTTCAGGGCTACAATATGATTCGTCGATTTATATGACAGTTTCTATTTAATGGATTGTCAAAAACGTAACCCCCTAACCCCAACACATAATAGTTTAGAACACATAATACAAGACGTGGCAATTTGCTGATCTCGTTCGTTTAATTCCGATAGACACTCAAAGCTCCCCATAACTCCATCGTCAGCTTGTCCACGGCTGCCACGAGGTACTCCAGACAAATTGTATTTAAATCCAGCGCCGGAACCCATTTCAATTTGGTTGACCATCTTGATACTTCAACGAATTATTGTATTTTGTGCACACAACAATGAGCGATCACCGATAGACGACTGTTCGTGTCAACGTCGAGTCAAACACTAACTACTGGACGACACCTGAGTCTTACCTGTTGACTTTGAAAAAGGCAATGGTTGGAGTGGGGAGTTTCTCGGAACACGGAGTCTAGAGCGAGACGGGTTCAATGGCGGTGTGGATTACCGTGGGAACTCAAGACGTTTTAATTGGTTTTAATACTTATTGAAGTTATTTGAAAACTCATTTGTTTCGTGGTCAACTGTAGTAACGAATGATTCAACTTAGCAGTAAATACCAGTAAATATGGGCTATGGTTAATCAAACCCGTATGTAGCCTGGATCTAATGATCAATATATGTACGAAACAGTAAAATAAACAGTAACCGAAGATTAATCTTCGGTGTAACTTGACACGTGTTTACAATGCATTTCGAAATAACGGGCGATATTAGAAACGGGCCAGGTTTCGTTCAATATTCAATAATTGTTTCGATAGGGGATGGACATTCTTAGATCGGCATCACTCTTTAGACAATAGAGCAAATAGGTAGCACAACTTCGAAAATTACTACTCGTAACAATAGGTACAGTTAATACTTACCACTTACATAGAAAATGTAAAGCAACTAATACACGAACAATAGAGGGTTTATCCTCAAATTCCTAATCCTAAAAGGCCAGTAACGCACTTCACTTGCAACGCCTCTGGTGTTTCAATAGTCCATGGGCGACGCCGATTGCTTACCATCAGGTGAACCGCCTGCTCGTTTACCGGCTTATTAAATTAAAAATATTATATTGATTTTGAAATAATGATCGCATGGTCACATAGCGAGCACCCTTCTTCTTTAATTCGTTTTATCTAAGCACTTGTTATTTTTAATTTTGTTAATTTTTTTTTAAACTTTGCCCTACATTAGGATTTTCTCCTGTGTCGTGGGTGCGTTTACAAACATACAAGTTCACATACACAATGACACCCAGACCCGAAACAACAATTTGTGGATCACACAAAGTGTTGTTCCGTGCGGGAATCGAACTCGCGACATGTTGCACGGCAGCCGGTTGCCCAGCCACCGCACCAACCGTGCAGTCAAAGCACTATTTTCCTGTTTCGATAAAATAATTAAAAAAAAAAATTAATCTATTTGGCGGTCTAAATACCTAGATTTATATTTTTTAATGTACTCTGCCATTTGTATTTGTGTTACAATAATTATTATGTACCATAATACATATAGTGCTCTCCACCATAATATAGTGTAGACTTTTTATTCTGGCCATGGGTTTTTCATATTATTACAGACTAGTTATAATTATAATAGTTAAGTATCTAAACATTGTGTAAAAAAGAGTATTTCACCGTACTCTATTAGTGTTACAGATTATAGAGTACGCCTACATGATATAGAGGACAATACTCAAGGTTTGCAACCCTACCAGCTTATCCCATAAGTAACTTTTGATTAAGAACTAGCTTCTGCCCGCGACTACGTACGCGTAATCCCGTTTTCTCCCATTCCCGTAGGATTTTCAGGGATTTATTCTGTCATAAGAACCTTCTCCTGACAATAACAAACACAACAAAAAAAGAAACAGCCAAATCGGTCTAGCCGTTCTCAAGTTATGGCGTGATAACGGGAAACGGGTTTCATTGTTATAAATGTACTAGCGGACCCAACAGACGTTGTCCTGCATATCCACTTGATGTATAAACAAAAATTCATTCAATGGGGATGATGACAGGGTATGAAAATTAAAAATATAATTAGTCCGTAAGTTAGGTAATGAAAAAATATAAGACACGTATTTTTTTATTTTGTCGTATAATAAAACAATACTTAGATAAAACGAATCAAAGTTTAGGAGTGGGGGCTAAAACGTCATTCCTTAGTATAAAATGTACTGAGAAGTGACGTCACGCGACATTTCAAATCAATATATCTTCGAAACTATTCGTTTCTGTGAGAAAATAAAAAATACGTGTCTAATGTTTTTAAATAATCTATCAGACGGACATTAAAATAAAAATTAGTCGTCTACCCTATTAGTTCAGCTGTTTAGGATAAATAACCTAAACATCGACTGCAGCGCCATCTGCCGGGCTGATTTGTGAATCTAATTCATTCCCAGATCCCCTTGAACACACACAAAAAAATTCATCAAAATCGGGCCAGCCGTTTGAGAGAAGTTTAGTGACATACACACTCACAGAATAATTATATCCTTACTATCCTTACTATACTAATATTATAAATCGGAAAGTGAGTTTGTTTGTTTGTTTGTTTGTTCCGACTTCACGCCGTAACTACTAAACCGATTGTATTAAATTTTTGCAGACGTAAAGTTAGTAGTCTGGATTACATAATAGGGTACTTTTTATCCCGAAAATATTTGATATTCCCGAGGGAAAACAAAAGTATTGGTATAGATGGCGCTGTATGTATTGGTATATGTCACATAGGCTACTTTTTATCCTTTTGTGACGCGAGCGAAGCCGCGGGTAAAAGCTAGTCCTTACTAATAATATTATAAATCGGAAAGTGAGTTTGTTTGTTTGTTTGTTTGTTTGTTTGTTCCGACTTCACGCCGTAACTACTAAACCGATTGTATTGAATTTTTGCAGACGTAAAATTAGTAGTCTGGATTAAATAATAGGGTACTTTTTATCCCGAAAATATTTGATATTCCCGAGGGAAAACAAAAGTATTGGTATAGATGGCGCTGTATGTATTGGTATATGTCACATAGGCTACTTTTTATCCTTTTGTGACGCGAGCGAAGCCGCGGGCAAAAGCTAGTAGGTATATAAAGATAAGATGTAGAATTTGAGAATAAAACCTACTTATTGAAGAACTTAACAAAAATAACTTAACGTACGAATAACATACCGAACTTTACAACAAATAATAAACAAATTAATAAACCATAAAAATATTAATGACGGAAAGCGACTCAGCAAAATTATATTTAACTCTCATCCTAAGCAGCTGATTTAACATGTTTATTGACTCAGTAACAAATTAATTCAAAGAATTGAAATGTTTTAAATAAACTGTGACGAATGAACGTACACGAGACCTTATTATGTATGTACATAGTAGGTATGTAAAGCTATGATGAGCGGCTCAAACGACAATATCATTCGTGCGTGTAAAGTCATCGCAAGAAGTCATGCCGTCTAAAATAGAATTTACGGTCAACGGTAAAAAATGTTCAGGTACGTATTTATTATTACATTCTATTTAAAATCAAAGACTAGGTATATTATAGTAATAACTAGCGACCCGCCCCGGGTGCAATATGCATGTATTATACATATAAACCTTCCTCTTGAATCACTATCTATTAAAAAAAAACCGCATCAAAATCCGTTACGTAGTTTCAAAGATTTAAGCATACAAAGGGATATAGGGACAGAGAAAGCGACTTTGTTTTATACTATGTAGTGATTGTTTAAAAGAAACGGTATTATAATGATAAAAAATGGGAAGAATATTTGTGCAAAATTTTTTTAACACGTCTTTTTATACCTCTAGAAATTGACTATTGTAATTTTGATTCATAATTATTATAATATTACCTATATTATCTACATAAACTTAGATCAGTATTAGAAACAAAATTAAATTTGCACTCAACCTTAACATAACATAACATTACGCCTTTTTATTCCCGAAGGGGAACGCAGAGGTGTACATTACGGCACTTAATGGCACTGTACAATGTAACACCCACTTTTCACTATTTATGTTACGAGTCCCATGTAATAGGGGGTGAGACACATGGCATACTCAACCTTATTTTACAAAATGACATAATAACATTACGCTTATCTATTTTCGAAGAGGTTGCATATCTGATTGATAAATCTGCATTAAGTAATTATTAAATTGTTCATGCTAATAACGAAGTGAATAGCATATAGAAAATCTAAATAACAATAGCAAATAATATATTAGATCATTATTCTATATTAATTTTACTTATTATTACACTGTACAATATAGCATCCGCTTTTCACTATTTATGATATTAGTCCCATGTAATAGGGGGGATGAGTCTATGGCTATATACCGGGCACAATTCCAGGCTCCGTGCTACTGCTGAGTTTTTTTAAATACCCATTAATATTTTGCCTGACCCGGGAATTGAGCCTGACACCTCTTGCCCTTACAGTCGCACTTGTGACCATTCGAAGTAAAATAATTCGGGATCAAATCGTACTAAACTAGTACCCTACTACTAATGAAAAACTTTTAGTTTTACTCCTGAATTAGATATTTTCGAAATAAAAAAATTGTATCAATTTTTTTTTATAAAATGCTAATGCAGTGTAATAAAAATACATTCTACAATTTACATAGATAATAAAATAATGTTTAATAACTCCATACACATGGCCAACGCATTTACTGTTTATAACCGATAATATCACTTTTCTGTAATAAATAAAAAACACGACACGATGTCAGTATTACATTGACAATACATAAATATAAAACACTAGCTGTTACCCGCGACTACGTCTGCTTGGAATATGAATTTTAGACAAATTTTTGTTTGATTCAATTTTCCAAAATAAATGTAGCACTCCTCAGTACATCAGCTACCTGCCAATAACAGTCTTGCAAAACCGGTCCAGTCATTCCAGAGATTAGCCAGTACCTACAAACAGACAAAAAGACAAATATTGTAAAATATGTTTATATATCTACGTACGCTAGTGTGAAATAAATCTAAATCAAACCTCCGGCACTCTAAATCGTATGTCCGACACGCTCTTATCATGTATGAATTTTGTCTATAAACAGTGTTGGTAGACGGGACGTTGAGAAGTACAGGTTTGCGCAGAAAAGCAGAAGGCACACGCAACCCTATTCTGTCCACCAACTCCGTCTCCGTCTTGTTATATGTATCGTATGTATATTCATATGCATGTAGTAAAAAGCTGTTATTTTAATATTACAAACAGACACTTCAAGTTTATTTATTTGTATAGATTTACAAGGAGAGTAAATATAAAGTATTTAATAACTATCGACCCGTTCCAGCTTTGCTCAGGTTTTTAATTTTCCTGGTAACTTTTCAATTTTTTATTTAACAAACACAGCAAACCTTATCGAAAATAATATACATATAATAAAACTGTAGATGTGTAAACTGTGTCATTGAAAATATAATAAAAATAAATAGTTGGAGGTGTTACTAGATAGACACCGAAACCAAAATTGTGATTAAAAATTGTTTGTCTGTCTGTCTGTATGTTCACGCAACAAGCAAAAACTACCGGTTGGTATGAATATACTTTAATCTCCTGAGTACAACACTGGGTACTTTTAACCTAAAAACATATGTCATACACGAAAAAACAAACTCAACGACATAATACTTTTTTAATAACCTAATAAAATGACAAAAACATTACGCTTGTATATTTTCGAAGAGGTTGCATATCTGGTTAATAAATCTGCATTAATTATTAAATTGTTAATGCTAATAACGAAGTGAAAAGCATTTAATCTAAATAACAATAGCAAATAATATATCTATATTAATTTTACTTATTATTTCACTGTACAGTATAGCACCCCCTTTTCACTATTTATGATATGAGTTTCTGTAGTAGAGGGTGAGCCATATACCGGACACGATTCCGGCTCCGTGCAACGTGGTAGTTTTTTTTTAAATACCCATTAATATTTTGCCCGACCCGTGAATCGAACCCGAGACCCCTTGCTTGCAGTCGCTCTTGCGACCAATGAGTCAACGAGGCCGTCATTTATAAATTATACTGTAGATTTAGGATACAAAATAGGTCTAGTACTTGTCAAGATCAGAATAATATACACAATTGAAAGTTCAATGCCACAAACTCGCCTAGCTAGTTTTTCTAAACTTATTATTATAGAATACAAGTGACCCGCATGACAAGTTTCATGCATTATTTCCTTATCCAAGTAATATATTTTTTCCTTTCTAATTTCGCCCGTGTTTATGCATTACAATTACAAATTATAATATACCTCTATATGAAAATTAAACCCGTTTCCCGTTGTCACGCCATAACTTGAGAACGGCTAGACCGATTTGGCTGATTTGTTTTTTGTTGTGTTTGTTATTGTCAGGAGAAGGTACTTACGACAGAAAAAATCCTGAAAATCCTACGGGAACTCGAGAAAACGGGACTGCACGTACGAAGTCGCGGGCAGAAGCTAGTTAACGATATAAGTGTTGAAATGAAATTAAATGTGTCTGAGTCTAGGGATTGGGCCGAATAATTAAGTTTGTTTTTTGTGTACTTTTTCGGGATAAAAAGTACCTAGTGTTGAGCCCATGATAATAAAGTAAAAAGAAAACATAGTGACGAAACCTGGACTTATAATTTCTAAGTATAAGTTTGACTGCCTCGTTGGCCGAGTGGTCGCAAGTGCGACTACCGGGCAAAGGGTCTCGGGTTCAATTCCCGGGTCGGGCAAAGTACTACTTTGTTTTTATAAATTCTCAGTAGTAGCACGGAGTCTGGAATTGTGCCCGGTATATGGCAATAGGCTCACCCCCCATTACATGGGACTCATAACATAAATAGTGAAAAGTGGGTGTTACATTGTACAGTGGCATAATGTGCACCTCTGCCTACCCCTTCGGGGATAAAAAGCGTGATTTTATGTTATGTTTATAAGTTTGAAATCGTCGACCCGCATTGAGCAAGCGTGTTGATGAATGCTCAATCCTTTTCTGTGTGAGAAGAACTAAGGCTCAGCTGTGGGCACTTAAAGAATGTTAATTATGATGACTGCTAGTGCAGAATAAAAACGTTGGAGTATATTAACATAACAACTTTGGGAAATATTGTAACACTAACGGCCTGGCGACGCCAGTAGATCAACGTACACTCAACTGCCAATACTATAATTCATTGGAATTTTAACTTTATATCAATACAATAAAGTTAAAACTGACATTTTGACAAGAGTGTATAGGATATGTCGACTTGCTGGCAACCGTACATTGTACTTCTTGAGGTGAACCTTAGCCTCAATGTGCGTGATGACAAAACTATGAGAATATTACTGTAATCTGACCGCTATTATCTAAGTACCAAGATAATGGTACTATAAAATATGTCTTATTTCTTATGGTAATAAGGCTTATTGTATACCAGTTTCCTTTCCAGTAACTATAGTGTTGTAAATAGCTATGTTCCGTACAACACGCATCACGAACGTTTGTTGTAAATACAACAATAATATTATGATAATAAAACTTATTCAGGTATGACAAATAATATTTGTTAGTAGGGATATTTATTATGTTATGCGTGATACTGTTGTTTAATGTAACAATTTCTACAATTGATGGAAAAACATATTGTAGTTCATGTATCCTTTTGTCCCTAAGTTAAAGGGAACGCACCTTTAAAAGGCCGGCAACGCACCTGTGACTCCAGTGTGTCCATGGGCGGCGCTGATCGCTTACCATCACGTGATCCGTCTGCTCGTTTGCCTCCTATTCCATAAAAAAAGTAACGCACTTAGAAACAATGTTTGAATGAATTGAATGAATAATTATTACACTAAAACTTCTCCTAAATGTAACAAACAATTTGCAGAAAACCGCATCATATGCGGTGCAGTCGATCGCGAGATAATCGCATACCAACACACGTACAGGTCAAACTGAGAATATCTTTTTTTTAAATCGGTTAAGATAATTCTTTATAAACTGCGTTTAAAAAACAGACTTCGACCCCTTTTTTTCATCATCATCATCAACAGCCTATAAATACCCACTGCTGAGCAAAGCCTCTTCTCACACGGAGAAGGTTTGAGTATTAATCACCACGCTTGCTCAATGCGGGTTGGCGATTTCAAACTTATATTTAGAATTATAAGCCCAGGTGTCCTCACAATGTTTTCCTTCACCGTTTGTCAGTGGTGTCTGAATAATCTCAGAAAGTATGTACATGTAACTCGGAAAAACTCACATTGGTACTTGCCGTTGGTAGGGTTCGAACAACCCTCATGCATGAGAAGCGAGCGGGCCACCTCCAGGCCACCACGATAATCCAGGTCACCATGACAATACGACACCACGACCCCTTTTTTTAAAGTCGGTTTATTAATGTCCTACCCTTCTCTTTATTGTCACATTTCACAGTTTTCTGAAAACCGCATTAAAAACTGTTCAGGCAATCGCGAGAGAATCGATTACAGTATACATACATAAACACTATTACACGTCAATCTGACAATCTCCGACCACCGTAACCGCGGGCCTGCGGACGGCGAGCATGAGTGGCTCGCCGCCCGACCAGAACCAGACCCTCCCGCCTCACCCAGGCGGGAACAGTCATTCAATGATTTTCACTCTTAAAAAAACACCTCAATCTGAGACCCTCTTCTTTTTGAAGTCAATTAAAAAGGAGAACTGAATCTAGAACTTTATCTAAACATGTTGTTTTTGTTTGCTTAGTGAACGAATGTACACCCCGGGAGACGACCCTGAACGCGTACTTGCGGTATGTGTTGGCTCTGCCGGGCACGAAGGCGATGTGCCACGAGGGTGGCTGCGGCTCCTGCATCGTCATGGTGCGCGCCAGGAGGTACCCCAGCGGCATCGTCGAGACCTTCTCTGTTAACTCCGTGAGTATCATTAGATTAGCCATTATTATTTGAAAATGATTTTGTAACAATATGCTTAGTGAGCAGGAACTTATCGTAAATCACAGAGTTAGCAGGAAACGCTTCATAGAAGTAGAACACTTCATGGTTTCTCTGTCACTTAAACATTATACGTAACACACTAAGCAGCCTAATTACTTACATAATTGTCTTTTTGAGCATTTTAAACAATTTATAAATTATGACAACATAAACATAACATCACGCCTTTTATTTCCGAAGGAGTAGAGGTGCACATTACGGCATTTAATGCCACTGTACAATGTAACATCCGATTTCCACTATTTATGTTATGAGTCCTATGTAATAGGGGGTTGAGCCTATTGCCATATATAGGGCACATTTCCAGACTCCGTGCTACTACTGTAAAAACTCAGTTTTTCACTTTGCCCGACCGGGAACGAGACCCCTTGCCCGGCAGTCGCACTTGCGACCACTCGGTCAATGAGGCAGGCATAAATTATGATACTAACTACAAAATCTACAGTGTTTAGTTCTGGTGCTATCATGCAATGGTTGGGAAATCACAACTGTCGAAGGCGTCGGCAACCGTTTAGATGGCTACAGTGATGTCCAGAAGCGACTGGTGGCTTTCAACGGTTCCCAGTGTGGGTACTGTACTCCTGGATGGATTATGCATTTGACCAGGTAAGCAGCCTACTGTTTACCAATGAAGAAAAGCTATTGGATGGTTCCAAAACACCGCTTGACTACCTACTAATATAGTATTATGGTGTTAGCACAAAGCTAAATGTTACTACATGGAATCCCGGATTTGTAGAACAAATAGTTGATATCTGTAGATATTTGTTTCATGTCAAAATATGAATAGGAATATTTAAGTATGTATGAAACAAAGTAAACATATTTGCAAAGCCCGCATGAGAAAGAGGAAAATCAATCACTGTTGCATGGAGCGGTGTAAACAACAACTAATATTACACGATATAATACTATCCAAACATACTAAATAATGTTATAAGCAATTGATAAAAAATTACAATAACGAATTTCTATTCCAGTTTAGTCGACAAAAACCTAACAATGTCCGAAATGGAGGAGTCTTTTGGCAGTAATACATGCAGATGTACTGGGTTCCGACCTATCTTGGATACTATCAAGTCATTTGCTATAGACGCTTCTCCAGAAATATGTCAGAAGGTGAGGGATATTGAGGAACTAAATGGGTGTTCCAAAAATGCTAGAAATTGCCAAAGAAAATGTTCATCGAACAGTGACTGCAGTGATTGGAGCGTTGTAGCTGACGTCAAGAAAGGGAGTCCAATGCGTTTCGACTTTGGAAAATACAAGTTCTTCAAGGTCTATGAGATTCAGGACATTTTTGACATCTTCAGCAAATATGGCGTGGATTCCTATATGCTCGTGGATGGAAATACTGCGAAGGGTAAGTTTTATTTTGCAATATTTAACCAAACTATATATTTTATGATTTGACTTCTCAAATATTATACTACGCTTGTCCAAAATTTTATTAATTCAGGTGTATTCAATTGACTGTATTATTTAAACGTTTTTTGTGTCTAGTAGTAGCTTTGAGTATGGTTTTGCCCAGTAATCATACTTAGGCCAAAACCTCGCTCATATATGTAGTTTGACAGATAATGTATCGCCTTATGTATGGTGGACGTGGCAGGAGCCGAAAAATCGACTGTTCTTAATAAAGTTCACATTTGGATTGGATAAAAATATTGATAGCTCGCCTTCTTTGATTACGGTAGGGTCTCACTACAATCCCCCCATTGGCTCCCTTATGGAGCATTTGGTTCTTTAAATAGATCAGCTCTGAAACCCCCACTGTACAGCGCTTATTATGGTACACCCTTAGGGGGATCTACATTTCGGATGTCGGGGATCGTGGGACGATCTCCGGCCACTGTAAGCGCGGGCCTACGAAAGGCGAGCATGGGTGGCTCGGCGCCCGACCAGAACCAGATCAAAGAGCCATCAGACCACCACGGATGCCCAATAGGGCTGATGCCGATACGCATCCAGGCGGAAGAAGTCATTTAATGATTTTCCTCCCCTAAAAAACAATGGGAGATCTACATCTCCGTTGAGCCTCACCATATAGCTCATACTTACAAGGAACTTATACCTGACAAAAAAATACTGTTAGAACATGTAATACGCGAACCTCGGACAACTATTTCGAGGAATAATAAACGATAGGTATGAGAGATAATAAAAGACAGCTATTATAATAATTACATTGGAAGATAATAATGTATTCTATTTTAATAGCTAAATTATACGGAGTCCAAAGAAAGCGTAGGTGATAAATGGTGCATTTGAATTGGTAAAAATGTTACGCTCTATTTGCATTGTCTTATACTATTATATAAAGCGGAAGAGTTTGTTTTTTTGTTTGTCAAGATAGTTTTATTGAGCATAGAGACCCTGATGACAATCTGATGAAGCTGGTGGATGTTGGTCAGGTTAAAGGGAAAAGATCTTGTGGTCGTTCACCTACCCGTTGGTAAAGACCGCAGAGGATAGGAGCACTTAGAGGAAGGTTGTGCATCAAGTGACATCAAGCAGTTTAAATACGACCTTCAGTAATAAAGAGAACGACTAGGAAGGAAGGGTAGTTTTTTAACTGTATTTTCCTAACATCAATAACGTGATAAATAGATGGTCAAATCAACGAGCAAAAGTACAATTACCGAGTCAGGGGTCTCGGGACTGTGGACAACCGTAACGGTTACCGTAGCTTTTCCGGCTCTAAGCAAGAGTAGGAAGAGGGTGTTTTAGTCTGTACGAGTTTGACACTCTTTTTCGCCTCACCCAGGGCAGGATGAATGATGAATCGTCATTGAATGATTTTATAGTAACAGTATAGAATTGAATGAGACTATTACTATAATGTAGTTAGTGCAGAGTGGTCACCGGTGACCGCTTGGGGATATTAGGGTTAATATGGTGCCTATAAAGTACAAATGTAATGTACATATTTTAAACAAAAATATGTTAGTCGACTAGTCATACCAATTTGCTAGCACTATGACCTTTTTACATTTTTTGCGAATTTAAAATTTGAAATATTTTGTACTGGTTTGATGTTTTGTTACAATTAAAAAGTGAAGGTATGTATATTTGGCTTATGGCATAAGCCGGTAAACGGGCAGACGGATCACCTGATGGTAAGCAATCGGCGTCGCCCATGGACACCTGGAACATCAGAGGCGTTACAAATGCTTTACCGACCATTTGGGGATTAGGAGAGATTGGGGAAGGGGAGGGTAATTGGGCCTCCGGTAACCTCACTCACACGACGAAACACAACGCAAGCGTTGCTTCACGTCGGTTTTCTGTGAGGCCGTGGTATCACTCCGGTCGAGCCGGCCCATTCGTGCCGAAGCATGCTCTCTCTCTCTGCTCTCCCTTAAAAAAATAAATTAAAATAATATGCCATTATATATGTATGCCATTAAAATAATAAATTGAATGAACATGCTTAGTAATCTATATATATAAAAGAAAGTCGTGTTAGTTACACTATTTATAACTCAAGAACGACTAAATCGATTTGGATGAAAATTGGCGGGGTGGTAGCTTAGAACCAGGAAACGGACATAGGATAGATACTTTTTATCTAAATTTTTTTTTTTACTTTTACCGAAAATCTCGAACGGGAACGGGTGGGAAATGGGATTGCGCGTACGAAGTCGCGGACAGAAGCTAGTACTTAATAAAAACTGAAATATAAATAACTCTAAAAAAAGTGTCACTCCTCAATTGTACTAGATGGAGTACCTACATAAAAGGTTTAAAAAAAGGTGGGTCGTAGTATAAAGGTTTATCAGAGAACGTTATTATATTTATAGTTTCTGTCAAAAGCGTAGACCCTTAGTCGACACTTGAAATACCCGCGGGAAGAGTAGGGATGATGAAAAATGTTCAACTCTACCAGCACCAATCATTTTTGAAAAATAACGTTATTTCGATAATGTCAGTAGGTATTTGTAATGTAAAGACTCCACGGTTGGCGTGGTGACTGGGCCTGCCACGCAACGTGTCGCGGTTTCGATTCCCGCACGGAACAACTCTTTGTGTGATCCACAGATTGTTGTTCCAGGTCTAGATGTCATGTGTATGTGTACTTATATGTTCCCAAATAAATAAATATACCTCTATGTTAATTTGAGGAACTGCAAATGTGATCCACTTATTATCTATAAGTATTAATTGTTTTAGGTATCCTAGAGACATTTGAGTATCCCAATAATTTAATTGACATCAGCGAAGTGATGGCATTAAAGACCTATGACTATGACCAAAACCTGGTCCTTGGAGCGAATGTATCCTTGGAGGACTGCATTAAAATCTTCAAGGAAGCTTCTAGTAAGAAGAGCGAGTTCGCATATTTGACTGAATTGGTGAAACATCTAAAGCTTGTTGCTCATATACCAGTCAGGAAGGTAAGCAAGCAACATATAATTTTCATTTATTTATTTATTTATTATTTATTTACTCAATATTTCAATACCGAAAAGTTTATTCTATATGGATTCTTATAAGAACACAGCGTGATGCTCATCAAAATTCTCACCAGAATCGAACGTTACAACTCTTTGCGCGGGAAACTTTACTAATCTGTCACATTTGACAGATGACATCGTCAACATAACAGCTAGTGCTGTCGATAATACAGATTAAACTTGTGACATTCTTTTAGTTATTTTCGTCTTCTAACATAAGAAAAGTTATGTAGGCTATCAAACATCATGCTACGATCACCAATAGATGAGCAGAGGATGAAACTCGCCAGCTAGCTAGTATTTCTATAATTGGGTTGTGTCCAGGGTATCAAAATTAAAAATCTAATTAGTCCGTCATTTAGAAAATGCAAAAATGTTACACACGTATTTTTTTATTTGGTCGTATTAAGTTGCAATACTTAGATAAAATGGCGCTAAGTTTAAGAGTTGGAGGTTGTTACGTCATAACGTGCTTCAAAATGTGACACGCTGTGACGTCACACGATATTTCAAATTAATATATGTTCGAAAGTATTTAATTTGGTAAGAAAAGAAAAAATACGTGTCTAAAGTTTTAAATTAATGTACCAGACGGACATTAAAATAAAATTTAGGAAACGACCCTATTGTTTGTTTATTATCTTCCTAAGCTGCTGAATCATTTTAAAGAGATTTGGTTTACAGACATTATTATTTTGCACAAATAAAGTTGTGGTCCAAATGGGAACTTACAAGCAGAATATTTTGTCTATTGGTTTTTATAATTTAACATAACATCACGCCTTTTTATCCCTGAAGGGTTAGGCAGAGGTGCACATTACGGCTCTTAAATCTTTGAGTACCGTCATTATAGACACAATTAAAGAACAATAGGTTGCGTTCACCGGTGTCCTCGCGGTGTTTGACAGTTTAATGCCACTGTGCAATGTAATACCCAATTTACACCGAGTTATGAGTCTCATGTAATAGAGGGTGAGCCTATTGCCATACACCGAATACAATTCTACACTCCGTGCTAATACTGAGGATTTTTTAAAATCCCAGGAATAGTTTGCCGGACCCGGGATTTGAACCCGAGTTCCCTTGACGAGTCGCGATTGCGACCACTCGGCTGACAGTTAGGCAGTTATAATTTAATTTATTTCTATACTTTTAGATTGGCTCCATAGCTGGTAATTTGATGTACAAGCACAAGCTGCCGAGATATAAATCTGACCTCTTTTTACTCTTCGCATGCATTGGAGCAACAGTTACTGTCCGTAGTATTTTAAACTTTTATAAAGATAAAATTATTGTATACCTATTTATAAAAAATATATCTTAATTATTATGTTTTCGGCTTACTCACGTAACTGTTTGACGAGAAACTCGACTAGTTTCAAGTCATGCTAGGGGCTCATATTCAATATTCATGTAGGCGTTACCACAGAGAAAGGAAATCACAGCTTTTGAGGGCTACTACGTGGTGGGATCTGCCACAATTTAGTGGTAGGTCGACGCCTGCCGGGTGCGGTGAATCCGCAAGGACGTCCCGGGTCACGGCCACAGGTAGTGGAGGAACACCGCGGTGGTTTTAGCCGGTAAGAGTCCGGCACACGCCCCCATCGTCCCCACGGCGTGGGAAGTCCATGAGGATTTCCATCGCGTTATAAAAAAAATATATATCTGTTGTCTCCGCCCTCCTAAGGTGACATGTAGATCTTTAGTACATAACAAAATCGAGATGTTTAAATGCAATACTGTTCTAGAAACACAAAAAAAAAACACATATTTTATTTTAACAAAAAAAAAATATATTTTTTTATGATAATGAAACACTTGACAAAATTAAACATTGTGGTATTTACTAGAAAAACAATGTTTAATTTGTATTTGTTTTATTTTATTGAAGTTTTTACAATTTATCATTGGCGTTTCGGTGTACATTTGCATAAAATGTGTTGGATAGGAGAGTAGGTATAGACACCGTCAAAAGTAGATGACATTTAGTTAGTTTTTCAATGATATAAAAATAATGTATTTTGATACATGTGATGCATGACATAAACTTACAAAATTATTTAATGCTTTGAAAGCCTTCCTTTTGTCCTTCATTTCCCGGTGCGTATGCCAAATAGTTGTTGGGGTCGTTTTCAACATCTGAATCAGATTTAAAATCATTTTTTGTCTAGATTTAGATGTGGTTTTAATAAGTAATTTCGGCTATGCGTAACGAATCTATTGGTCACTCAGTCATCAGTAAAGAAAGATTATAACACTTATATATGTTTTTTTCTTTTCTAACGTTCTTTCTTTGTTTGACCTTTATGATGACAAAGTGAAACTTTCAAAAGGCGCTTTACTTTTTAGGGAGCTAAACTATTCCTAGTTTGGGATTCTTACTTAACCTCATACCACAAATAGTGGCCTAAATGAAGCACCAGAGTCTCTTGATATACCCAAGTCAAAGTCAGAGACAGAATCAAAGTCAAAGTCTAATAATTTGTTTTAAATACATATTCCGAAGCTTCCACTGTTATGATATGACTTGGGAGATTCACAGAAAAGAGCCATATGTCGGAATACTGAAACGCTACTCAATTTTAAGTCGTGCTTAAGTATAGTTCTATCTCTACAAATTCTTTGTAAAATGACAGAGATGGCACGATATTTGAGCACGACTTCAAATTGAGTAACGTTTCAGTATTCCGGCAATAGATCTCCTATAGGAGATCGCCAAAGGTGACATAGATCTTCTATAGGAGATCTATGTCACCTATACCTATATTCTATAGGAGATCTTCTATAGGAGATCTTCTATAGGAGATCTATGTCACCTTTACACCTAGACATGCATGTAACCTTAACCTAATAATTTCTTTCTAAGGTTATTCCAATGGCAACACCAAGTCGCTGAAGATGAAAAAGTTCTTGAAGACTGACATGGAAGGAGGTGTGTTGATCAACGTGGAAATACCACCCCTTAGCAGCTCACACGTGTTCAGAAGTTATAAGGTATAGATATTAAACCTTCTTCATTTTTTATGGAATAGCAGGCAAACAGATCACATGATCACATGATGGTACGCGATCAGCGCCGCCCATGGACACCCGCAACACCAGAGGATATAGGTGCGTTGCCGGCCTTTTAGAAAAGAATAAATTGTTTAAAGTTTTCGATTCCAGGGTAAAGCAAAGTACTATCGTGTTATTTATTACCATAAACCGACTGCTTTGCAACTTATCCCGGCTTTGATTCCCGCACGCGACATCTGATTTTGAAACTTCTATTTTTAATCTTGGTAAATGCTTGTAAGTGTGGGAGAGCCATGCTTCGGCACGAATGGGCCGGCTCGACCGGTGTGATACCACGGCCTCACAGAAAACCGACGTGAAGCAACGCTTGCGTTGTGTTTCGTCGTGTGATTGAGGTTACCGGAGGCCCAATTACCCTCCCCTTCCCCAATCTCCCCAATGCCTGAATTCCCAACGATCCTCAAACTCCTAATCCCCAAAAGGTCGGTAAAGCATTTGTAACGCCTCTGGTGTACCAGGTGTCCATGGGCGACGCCAATTGCAAATCATGTGATCCGTCTGCTCGTTTACCGGCTTATGCCATAAAAAAAAAACGCACCCACAACAGAATAAAACTTACAGATTGTAATATTTTTTTAAAGGAATACGAAGCGCTTTAATAATTTAAAGAACCACATCAATAACAAAGACGTACATAGATATCACTAACTTTGAGTTACCTACGAAGTAAACGCTACCAATTTTAACTACAATAAATTCGTTTAACACCTAATGTAATGTTGGGACAGGTCAGGACAAAGTAGTTAACCATAGTATTTAACCGACGATATGCAGAATAAATTATTGTAACGCTTAGTTGCACCACAGAAATTAGTTAAAGTAATTTTTAGTGTCACATTTAACAGTAACTGTAACGCTGTAAAAGTTAGTAAGTAATAACTTACTAACTTTTACCCGCGGCTTCGCTCGCGTCACAAAACGATAAAATGTAGCCTATGTGACGTATACCAATACACACAGCGCCATCTGTACCAATACTTTTGTTTTTCCTCGGGAATATCAATTTTTTCCGGGATAAAAAGTACCATATTATTTAATCCGGACTTCTAACTTTACGTCTCCAAAAATTCAAAGCCATTGGTTTAGTAGTTACGGTGTGAAAGTGGAACAAACAAACAAACAAACTAACTCACTTTCCAATTTATAATATTAGTAAGGATAAAGTATTCAGTGGTAGCAAAATTAGTTTTCGAAAAAAGAGTGACCTCCTCTACTATTTGAATTAGATATGTCATTGGGTTTCGGCACCTATACATTTTTTCTATTTATACATGCAAGATCACTTCTTTCGTCTTCAGAATTAGTTTTTGCGAGTATCTCTTGTAACAGGGACATGCTGTTCAGAGTTTCAGAGGTTTGACAACGCGTTTCACAATTTGACAGATTAATTTTTGACACTTACTTTAACACTAAATAAAACAGTAACCAGAAATAAGTGAGCGGTTACAGTTATAGTTAAAGTTATGACGTCATTTAACAATTTGTCAATTGGTGCAACGTCTTTTTGACCTAACCGATACTTTATCAGAAATTTTGACGCTAGTCATTGTTAAAGTAAGTTGGTACAACCTAGTCTGTAATTTTTCGCTTCATTATCAGTACTAGGTTAGTGCATTGGTGCCAACTATAGGTATCTTACATTAAAATTGCATTTTACGGTTAAAGAAAATGATAGAAATGTACTGTATGTTGTAAACCTGATATAAACGATATCTTGAAACTTGTTTGACAATTTTTTTTAATTGGCTACAAGTTTAAGAAATAAATGCAGAACAAGTAATTGCTTGACTACTTAATTAATTCGCTAAATTTTATCGAATACTTTAAAATAACATTGCAAGAATATTTGTGAGAATTAACAGACATGCAAATGTAAAATGTTAATCAAGATCGTTTAAGTCCAACTTCGTAAACTGCTAAACCGATTTCAATGAAACTTGGTCTTCATCATCAACAACCAGAAGACGTCCACTGCTGGACAAAAGCCCCTCCCTTAGTCCTTCCCGTAACTACGTATGAAACTTGGTACTCAAACGTAATTAATTAAGGTTTAAAAAGATTTTCAAAAACAGTTTAGTAAGACTATTTCAAGTTTTCATAAATTACGTTTATACTGTTCCCTTAAAGCATATGTATGGTAAACCGCACCAGCACGTATTTATGCAGTTTAAAGATTTTATAATATATGTGTCCGGCCGGGATTGTGGACAACCTTGTGGGTTCCTGGGGCTCCGGCCTGAAACATGACTTACACCATGGTTTTTAGTCAGTAAGAGTCTGACGCTCTCTCTCGCCTCAGCAAAGGTGAGCCTTGGAAGGCCTTGCGGCTTGCCGGGGCTCCGGCTCGAATAGCGGGAGTAGGAACGGAGTGGTTTTTAGTCAGTAAGAGTCTCACACTCCTTCTCGCCTCACCATGGGACATTTTTCCCCCCTCAAAAAAAAGGGAAGCCATTTGATGACTATACTACCTCAAAAATAAGATATTTAATTATCACTTTGTTGGCCAGTATCCAACCAATGGCTACAGTCTCTGTACTGATTCAATCTTTATTTATCTAACTGCATGGTAAATAGCTACGTAGACTATACATTAGTTCAAAATGTAATTAACAATTTCAGATCATGCCAAGAAACCAAAACGCTTTAGCCCACGTAAACGCAGCATTTCTTCTGAAACTAGGACGTAAGAAAGTAATAGAGTCAGCAAGCATTGTAATTGGTAATATTGATCCGGAATTTATTAACGCTACTAAAACTGAAGCGTTTTTGGTTGGTAAGAACATATTCAATGATGTGAACTTGCAAGCAGCTATCCAGGTTTTGAGCAAAGAGTTGAAACCTATTGAAATACCAGGAGAACCATCTCCACAGAGCCGGAAGAAATTGGCTTTGGGTCTGTTTTATAAGGTTAGTACAATAAAGGTTTACTATTTTTTGGGTATTTCATTTTTAGTTTACAAGTCTTTCTGATATCGATACAGTGAAAAAAACCATTATAAATGAGATAAAAGTTCAAATTCGACATACTCTTTTTCCATTGCATCAGTTTTTAAATTTGATTTTTTTGAACACTACGTGAACCAGGAGCAATTTCTGCCACTGATATTTACCTCCGAACCCAAATATATTCTAAAACTAGTCAATGTCGACTTATTTAATAGTGCGTCTTATTCACAGTTCATTCTCAACATTAGTCCAGCGGGCACAGCACTCTCCAAATACATTTCTGGTGGGGAACTTCTTCAAAGACCTGTTTCTTCTGGTAAAGAAGACTTCCAGACTGACTCCTCATTATATCCGTTGAACAAACCAGTGGATAAGCTTGAAGCTAAAATACAAGTGGGAGGTGAAGCGAGGTTCGCGAATGATATACCTCCGTTACCAAGGGAAGTGTTTGGTGCCTTCGTACTTTCCACCACTCATAGTGGAGAAGTGGACACTATTGATGTTGATGATGTCATGGTAAGTGATCTTTGTTCCAATAACTATAATTTTGACGACATCATTAGTAGCAAGTGCAATAGCGGAACCAGCGGCATTTAGTATTGAGATTATCTATTTCCAAACTTGTGGTAATTATTTAGTACTGGACTATGTATTTAATTACATAGTGAAATTGGAGTAAGACGTACTCGACTATTTTCTTAAAAAATAAGAGTTAAAATATGTGCACAAGAACACTCCTATATTGAATAAAAGAATGTTATTTTAATTCAAATAAGGTATAGTTTACTTAAGAAACATCTGCAGGAGCTAATTCAAATAAAAACTTCAGAGTCATACCTAATTATTGTTTTACTTAATTTCGACGTAAAAAATAAAATGAACTATATGTTGTGGAATTTTTTGACAATTGAGTCAATACCACGGTAATCGACATTGACGTCGCAACATGCTGTTTACGTTATAATTAACGTATCTAAGTCAAGGATTTTTTATAAGAGCTCATTACTTTCCTTGGTTGCTTCAAAAAATCTCTTTCTTCCATTAAAGATAATCATCGTTCGTCATCACGTCTTTTAACCCTTTCCTCTCCAATCACTTGTCAAACAATCCAGCTCTTGCTCAACGATCTTAAATAAAACATTTACTTGTTCCAGTCTAAAGAAGGAGTCGTCGCCTTTTATACTGCCAAGGATATTCCTGGCGTCAATTCCTTTGGATTCCCTGGTATTCAATTGCAAACCGAAGAAGAAGAAATTCTTGCGACTAAAATCAAATTCTATGGTCAGCCCATAGCCGTAGTTGTAGCGACCAGCGAAAAATTGGCTGAAAAGGTGGCTAAACAAGTCAAAGTGACATATAAAAATGTTGGCACTAAACCTCCTGTACTGACAATTGACGAAGCAAAGAAAGATAGCAAGAGATACGTAGCTGGTACTCCATCTATAGAACCAAATGGTAAAGGGGATAATGTAACGAAAGTTATTAAAGGGATTTTAGATTTGGAAGCTCAATACCATTATTATATCGAACCTATAACGTGTGTTGTGGTTCCTGTTGATAAAGGACTTGAGGTGTACGACTCTTCGCAATGGATGGACTTATCACAGATTGCTATTGCGAGGTCTTTGGGAATACATGAAAGCGAGTAAGTAGTGAAAGTATTTATGTACTTAATTACTAAGGTTCAAATATAAACGATTGTGGTACCTAGAGGTATTCCCAAATACGGAGCCGCGGAGGACTTAACGGGTTGCCGGGGCAGAAGTAGTAAGAATCTGACACTCCCTCTCGCCTCACCCGGGCGGTATATATAGGTCATTGCATGGTTTTCCCGTCAAAAACGGGGGTATTCCAAAATGAAAACATCACAATATTTTCTTGCACTGAGCAGGCAGTAAGAATCTGACACTCCCTCTCGCCTCACCCGCATGCATGTCATTGCATGGTTTTCCCTTGTCAAAACGGGGGTATTCCAAAATGAAAACATCACAATATTTACTAAAACTAACTGGATATTCTTTCTATCTTAGCTTCCTAATTCTTATTACATAATTATTATCATAATTCTTATTTAATCTTAATGTGATATTTTAGAGGTCAATACTCGTCAATGCACGTTAATTTACGTATCAACGGCTTTAGATAAATTTTAGTTAGGTAGCATAATTCATACTTGAATCGTGTCAAATGCTTTACAAGAATCTATTATCTACGAGTGCCTAGGTGGTTAAATGGTCGAATATCTTATTTTTTTCTTTCTCAAATCATACGATTTTATGAAAACCAGACGTTGTTATCGGATTCTATCATCATCATCATCATCAACAGCTTATAAATGCCCACTGCTGAGCAAAGCCTCTTCTCACATGGAGAAGGATAGAGCATTAATCACCACGCTTACTCAATGCGGGTTGGCGATTTCAAACTTATAATTAGAAATTATAAGCCGAGGTTTCCTCACGATGTTTTTCCTTGACCGTTTGTAAATGGTGTCTAAATAATCTTAGAAAGTACATTATAACTCGGAAAAAGTAACATTGGTACTTGCCGTTGGTAGGTTTCGAACCCGCACCCTCATGCATGAGAAGCAGGCAGTTTAGATGTTTCGAAATTCTGTTCATACGAAATTATACAATTTTCTCTGAAAGTTATTTGTCGTTTATTTCAGTGTTGTTATCAAAGTTCGTCGTGTTGGCGGAGGTTTCGGAGGCAAGATCAGTCGCAACGTACAGGCGTCTGCAGCCTGTGCATTGGTTGCCAAGAAACTTGACCGGCCATGCAGATTTATCTTGCCAATGCAGACAAATATGGCCACAGCAGGCAAAAGACTGCCGTGCCAATGTGATTATGAGGTAACTATAATTCTTAGTCATTTTGGTTCAATTATCTAATAGGGTAGACGACTAATTTTTATTTTAATGTCCGTCTGATAGATTATTTAAAAACATTAGACACGTATTTTTTATTTTCTCACAGAAACGAATAGTTTCGAAGATATATTGATTTGAAATGTCGCGTGACGTCACTTCTCAGTACATTTTATACTAAGAAATGACGTTTTAGCCCCCACTCCTAAACTTTGATTCGTTTTATCTAAGTATTGTTTTATTATACGACAAAATAAAAAAATACGTGTCTAATATTTTTTCATTACCTAACTTACGGACTAATTATATTTTTAATTTTCATACCCTTTCATCATCCCCATTATATCGTTAGTACATGGTAAGGTATCTTGCCACCTATCTTAGCATCACTTGTTCTTTATAAGAAAAAAATCGAGTAAGTATAGGAATATTGGCGAAAACGTAATCTACAGCTTCGAGGCTTTGCAGTCCTGAAAGAATTTTGAAGTTTATTTAACACAAACGAGAAGTCAAACATTTTATTATAAGAGTACATTTTCACTGTAAATAATAGAAATAGTAAACTACTAATAATAAATAAGTATGTGTGTGAGTCACACACTTTGGTCACACGCTGATAACAAGTTCACTGTATGCTTAACTTTTCGTTTTAAATACGTACGCGTCAAATGTTTATTAAACTGTCAAACACCAAGCGGTCACCGGTGACCGCGACCTATTGTTCTTTAATTGTGTCTATAAAACCGGTACTCGACGAGTTAATTACTAAATTGCCTGTTAATGTAGGTAATAATAATAATTTTGGATAATAGCTTATTGGTAGTAAAGTTTACTTTCTCACAGTTGACAAATTCCACTGCCATAACGAATAGAACAATAGGTTCAACGGGATTAAAATAGGATGATAATAATAATTTAATAATGTGTAAAAGTACAAAAAATCTTTCAATAATGTCCGTAAAATCACTACATAGTATAAAACAAAGTCGCTATCCGCCGTCTGTCTGTCCTGCTTCGATCTTTAAAACTACGCAACAGATTTTGATGCGGTTTTCTTTAATATATAGAGTGATTCTTAAGGAAGCTTTATATGTATAATAGGTACATGCATATTGCACCCGTGCGAAGCCGGGCCGGGTCCTAGTAACATAATTTTATTCGTTTACGTTCATTGGCCGTCCAGAGTGGAGTCGCGAGAGCAGTAATCTTGCTGGGATGGTAAGAAACTATTCGTAAGTCGCGAGTAGGCCAGAGATGCAGGAGACCCCGGCTAGAGCTGATGATCTGAGTAGAAAGTGGTGGTAGTTTCTAAACCCGTCAGCCACTCACATTCTCGTTGTCCCTCTGTTGCTATATTTAGCAATCATTCCCGGGGCCTCGTCGGTGAGTTGACGAGTTTTCGCCTGCCATGTTTACGTCATAGTCATCCATAGTTCCCAATTTACCGGTCCATAGCAACCCATGCATAGGACTACCTTTTTTCCATTATCGTTAATAGTTCCACACTAACCAGGGATTGTCCTTGGGTGCATTTCCATAGTGCATACAGGGATAGCCGCTGGTTTGTGTGTCCATTACATTTAGATTAAAGTTGTCTAAAGGGCCTCTGCGCAGTTGGCTTCGGCCCCTCGTACGCTTCCTAAATGACCAGGACCCTAGGGTCCCGTGAATGGTAAAAAAATAAATAATAATAATATCTACTCTTCTAAATTACTTTATTTTTTTCGTAGGTCGGCGTCGATAACGATGGTAAAATCCAATATCTGAATGCGACTATAGTACAAGACAATGGTTGTTCCAACAATGAGAATATTCTTGACTTCGTCGTGGGTGGTTTTCCGAACTGCTATAACACTGAGTACTGGTCCTTGAAGACAGCTACCGTCACTACTGACACACCTTCCAATTCCTTCGCTAGAGCTCCAGGTTTGTTACGATTCTTAAGGTACTGTTACACATGATAATTTCAAGCATGAAAGCATGCTTCAATTGAGCACTTGTTACTTAGTAGAATTTTTTTTATGGGATAAGCCGATAAACGGGCATTTGGATCACCTGACGGTAAGCAATCGGCACCGCCCATAGACACTTGGAACACCAGTCACAAGTGCGTTACCGAGCTTTTGGAAATAGGAATTTGAGGATCGTTGGGGATTCAGGGATTGGGGAGTGGCGGGGTGGGTAATTGGGCCTCCGGTAACCTCACTCCCACGAAGAAACACAACGCAAGCCTTGTTTTACGTCGGTTTTCTGTGAGGCCGTGGTATTACTCCGGTCGATTCGTGCCGAAGCATGGCTCTCCGAAATGTGTGTCGGAAAGTTGCTTAAATGGTCAGCATGGTCTTTTTGGGCATGCTTGCAAATCGACAGGATTCGATTTTTGAATATTTTTAAGCATTCTCAATAGAACGACTTTTAACATGCTATTTTACAGCTTGTGTAGTACCTTTACTTTCAAAGTCATCATTCTCTGTGTCATCTCTGATTTCATTGCCATTTTCTCAGTTTAGAATTGTGATCAATATTTTCCAAAAGTGTTAAATATTTTTTGTACATTTTGGTCTGGTTTTCTACAACAATACATATAGTAGATATGCATTAGCATATCTTAATGATTACATTAAGCAATGCCCGATTAGCTGGTACACTATGACGCAATTTTTCTCTAAATTGTTCATCTATATTTGCAAAAACATTAATTATAAATAGAAATATTTTATTTTCTTTCTTTTAAACAAGCGCTTTGAATTAGCGATTGGAAATTATTGATAATGAGGATTTCATCTGTTTAATGTTTCTAACAAGCGCTATCGATATATTTTACCATAAATTAAAATGCTTAACTACAACTGCTTACAGCAACATAATTCTTTATTATTATTTCGAATATCACAGGTACGTGTGAAGGGATTACCAGTATAGAACACATAATGCAGCACATTGCGTTTGCGGTGCAGAAAGACCCAACTGACGTCCGTAAAGCAAACATGAGAACAGAGGACAATGACCTTCCAGAGATGATAGAAACCCTTAAAAAAGACGCAGACTACGACAGACGAGTTACAGAAATAGAACAATTCAATAAAACAAACAGGTGGATGAAGAAATCTATTTCGGTCAACGTTATGTGCTTCCCAGTAATCTTCTATGGTAACTACTCTGCTCTCGTCTCCATCTACAGAGGTGATGGTACTGTGACAGTCTCTACAGGAGGTATAGAAATGGGACAAGGAATCAACACCAAATGCGCTCAAGTTTGCGCGTATAAACTTGGAATACCTCTCGAATACGTCAAAATTGTTCCTAATTATACTTTCATTGCTGCAAACAACGTATTCTCTGGATCTAGTATCACTACTGAAAGTTGCGTCTATGCTATTATAAAAGCCTGTGAAGTTTTGGAAGAAAGATTGGCTCCAATAAAAGAAAGTATGCCTGATGCTACATGGAAACAAATTATCCAAAAGGCAGGCGAAGAACAAGTAGACTTAACTTCTCTGTATATGATGAAAGATACTGATGAAAATCTCAAAGGTTACAGCGCATTCGCTGTGTCTATTATTGAGGTGTTACTTGATGTCACCACCGGTAGGTTCCAGATTGTTCGAGCTGATGTTTTGGAAGACGTTGGTGTTAGTGCCAACCCTAAATTGGATGTGGGTCAGGTGAGTAGATATAGATTTTTGTATCCGCTTCAATTTAATAGCAAAATCACCATACGACATCCTATTCCGTAAATTCCCACACATTGACATTTCTAATAGATTAGTGTGTTCTCATAATATTCTTAAGAGCGAACGGAATTTTAATTGTGTTTTTCCTTTCAGGTCCAAGGCGCATACATTCAAGGTATCGGCTACTTCACTTGTGAGAAGTTGATTTATGATAAAACCACGGGCAAATTGGAAACCAATCGCTCCCTAACTTATCACGTACCTCTCGCCCTGGATATACCAGTAGAATACAACGTCAAGTTGAGGTATAACCATAAGAATCCGAATGGAGTTCTTGGATCTAAGAGTAAGCTGTTTTCTATATCACAGTTTTTATTTCCCAAAGAACAAATTTTCCGTCAGTTCTATCACAAATTTCATGTAAAGCCGAGTAAAATTATCCACTCTGAGCTATTAACTAAAATTGCCTATATCCTTTGCTTGCTTTCTTGATTGTTTATAAGTCTTAACTTAATTTGGTTAAGTGAACTTATGAATGTTTTAATATTCCAGCATGTGGTGAGATGGGCATCTGTTCAGCTCACGGTATAACGCATGCGCTGCGCCAGTGCATCATGGAGTCCCGCAAGGATTCAGGCTACGATCCCAACGAATGGATTTATATACGTAAGTAAATACTTATTGTTATTTTGGAAATAATTGGGCCAATGATCCTATGAGAATTGAGAATCAGTAACTAGCTCAGAAGACCTAGGCCGTACTTTGTAGGTATTATTAATTAGTCTTACTATCTCACAGAGTGGGAGAGCGCTCTCTCTGTTCATACAATACTTTGTAGTAGTGTTGATTATTAGTTTTGCATACCTACAAACATTAAATAATAAGAGTAACGAGCGGAGTTTCTTGCTTATTCTTTATCATTTGAATCTACATTTTGAAACGAACACCTAGCTTCATTGACGGGTAGACTGACAGACTTGTTTATTTTGTATTTGTAGACGTTACAAATGTACTATGGTTTAATTGAAATAAATGCTTTGACTTTGACTTTAATTGAGCATATTCATAATATACTCATTCAAAAGTTGATTTAAAGTGGAACACTGCATGTGGTCAATTGTAAACCTTTTTATGTAAAGGAGAGCCATAGTTTTTTTTAATCTCATTTCATTTTAAGTGATTTTTGTACACATAATGTGACGATTTCCAACCCATCGTGCTTTGACATACCCATAGTCTTGAAATGGACTGTCACGATCGATTATGACGACCTAGGTCAAAGATCAGGTCTTTAATTTTTTATGGAATAAACCGGTAATCGAGTAGGCGGATCACCTGATGGTAAGCAATCGGCAAAACATCAGAGGCGTTACAAGTGCGTTATCGGCTTTTTGGGGTTTAGGAATTTGAGAATTGTTAGGGATTCGGGGATTGGGGAGACCGGGGGAGGGGAATAATTGAGCCTTCAGTAACCTTACGACGAAACACAACGCAAGTGTTATTTCACGTCGATTATTATCTGTGAGGTTTTTATTGAAGTAATATGTTTCTCGTTTGTTTCCAGCGGTGCCGTACGAGACAGAAGTAATATTGAAGGCGTTGGACGTGAAACCTGAAGAATTTCTCCTTAACGCCTAAGTTACTGTTGTTTAAACTTTACATTTTTGCCAAATGTTTCACCAGTGATAGTCGATTGTAACTTGCCATATTATTAAGTTTAGTTTTCTTATTCTTCAAGATCTGATACTTTTTTCTTTTTTTTACAAAAATGGTGTTTGGTTATTTTTATTTTATTTCCATTTCTGTTGAGTATTAGTTTAACGGTTTTATATAACTGTCTAGCTTCAGCAATTACCACGCTCGCTTAAAGTAAGTTGGCGATTGGAAACTTAACTAGAAATTACCTATTATAATTTTCTTCACGATGTTTTCCTTTACAATACATTTCTTCTTCCTTTTGACAATACCGATGTCGACCGATCGGTATTGGATTCAAGAGTAAGCCCCCAGGTTCTGGTCGGGCGGCAAGCAATTCTTCCTCACCGTCCGCAGACATCGTCAAACCCATACATTGAGTTTTTCGTTGACCTACTCGTTCGGCTAGGGTCAAAAGTTTACGTATGCATAATCGTTTTACTGATACTTAACATTTTGTTACTGAATATCAATTGTCTTAATAATATAATAATTTACTCTTAAAATTGTTGAAATAATGATTTTGTTAATTATGATTAATACAGGATTGTCTTTTACAAATTTTTTATATTTAATTATTTTATATAATTTATTTCGCAAACTTTTTTGTCTTTTATAATTATTTTTAAGTAATGAAATGTGATTTATAGAATAAATCCATTCCTGTTATGTTTTATTATTAAAATAAAGTTTATTTTTGATATTATTAAATATTAATTCTTGTTTTTATTCTTCCTAAAAAGGTGTTTTCAATCAAGTTGAAAGCAGTGGTTGATGCTTCGCAAAATTTTATGAATTACCTATCTCAATCAAGTTCCGAACTCAGGGCCCACTTTTGGGAAATGAAACCGTTACCAATATGTAAAGTAAAATGCAGTACCTTAATTTTGGGAATCCCTGGTTTAAAGTAAGTTTTCATTTATAGAAGACACAAAAGTGAAGTTTCAGTTTAACCACATATACTTAAAACAAGTGAATAAAGAGAATTTATTTCTGTAAATATGCTAGAATTTACAGAAACAATGTGGACTGGATCTCTTCTGCTTAACAGGATCCAGTTGTATGTTGAAAATCCACAACATTTGTTCAGACAAAAGTAGTGTCTAAACATTGGAAATAAGGTCTATAATGAGGGCAGTAGAGAGCGGTCAATACATACAAACACTCCACTTGCGCGGTTTGTCGTTTTATCTATGAGGGCAAAAATAGTATATTTGAGATCAGAGAAGACCCTCCAGGGGATGGTTTCCCTGTGCGCCACATACGTTGCAATGTGGGGAGCTGTTACGTTTAGAGGAACTGGTGCCCCTGATAGGCGCTGATGGATAAGCCGGTAAATGAGCAGACAGATCACTTGATGGTAAGCCATCGGCGGCCTTGAACAATAGAGGCGTTACAAGTTGAATTTGAGGATGGTTGGGGATTCAGGGATTAAGGAGATTGGGCCTCCAATAACCTCACTCACACGACACTAGAGTGGTACAAAAATAGGTAGGTAGGTAAGAATTCTTTTTCTGATTCACTTCGTTGCGGGAACCAAGACAGTTATTTATGTCTCTGGGACGCCCCGGACTTCAGTGTTCCGGTGTTTTCATGGTTGTATCTACTGTAGATCCTGGCTTACAGGAGTTGCAGCGGTTTTGGGAGTTTGTGGCGGGCTTATCCCATAAAAACCTAGGTCAGAATTCCACACCCATTAATCTAGCCTCATTTTGAAGGTTTCCCTTCGATAAAACAAAAGGAAAATGGTGACTGGCAGACCGTATGGTGGTGTTGGTTGGCGACCATGATATCCTAGTAAAGCAATGAATACATGTTCTTCGGTAGTCTATAGGTACCTACTTACCTGCGGCTACGGGATAATTGCATACCATGCTCTTTTTTTCAATTAAATCTGACCTTTACTGATTAGCCATATCTTAAATAATTATGACAATGGGTATACGGGTGGTATTCAAGGATTAGTTACTTAAGTGCAAAGTCGTGGAAATCTGTTCAGGCTCGCATGAGTCAGTATGATTTACACGTACGTGTACTTCTTTATTATACTTTATTAACTGTTTTGACTAACTTATTACTATTATAATCAGTTTCTAGAACTACTGAGAACTAAGAGACTGCCTCATTGACCGAGTGGTCGCAAGTGCGACTGCCGGGCAAGGGTCTCGGGTTCGATTCCCGGGTCGGACAAAGTAATACGGGGTTTTAAAAAAAAATCTCAGTAGTAGCACGGAGTCTGGAATTGTGCCCGGTATACGGCAATAGGCTCACCCCCTATAACATGGGACTCATGACATAAATAGTGAAAAGTGGGTGTTACATTGTACAGTGTAGACCTCTGCCTACCCCTTCGGGGATAAAAGGCGTGATGTTATGTTATGTTTCTAGAACTATACTATCAATAAAATATCGCTACTCATATAGATCAGGTATCTGCATATTAATTTCGGCATATTTACTTTTCACTTGCATTGCAAATATTGCGAGACGAAATAGAAAAGACGTCGTGAAGTAGGTACCTTTAAACACACTTGTGTACTTATATTTTTCCTTGAATTACTGCCAAAAAACAGTCTTTTCGGCGTGTCGCAAATGATAAGATGTCTCCGAAAATTCAATTCACTGTCAATGGAAAAAAATGTACCGGTGAGTGTTATCAGCCAATTGTTTTGTTTTTATTTAATTTATAGTTCGGAATTCTAAATTGTTCTAAATTGTAAATGCAGCGGTTTAGTTCTTATTAAAAATATATACATTTGTTTATTTTATCGGTATAGGTTTTAATTTTAACAGTTAAACGTTTATTTAAATAGGCTGTTGTTAATTTACATTTATTAATAGATTGCGTGTAATTATTTTCAACTGTTCACCTTAAGACTGCCTCATTGGCTGAGTGGTCGCAAGTGCGACTGCCGGGAAAGGGATCTCAATGCCTTTAGCCAAACGCCAGTTTAGCACTTGTCTACAGAGAGAGTAGCAAACTAAATGTATAGGGATGACACTGATAAGTGTAAAAATTTACGTCAATTCCATATAATTTGGTTTTCTATTCTACATGTAGACAAGCGCTAAATGGCATTAATGGCATTTGGCTACCGCAGCAGGTTCGATTCCAGGGTCGGGCAAAGTATTACTGGGTTTAAATAAAAATCTCAGTAGCAACACGGAGTATGGAAATGTGGCCGGTATATGGCAATAGGCTCATCCTCTATTACATGGGACTCGTAACATACATAGTGGAAAGTGGGAGTTACATTATAGAGCGGCATAATGTGCCCCTCTAGGCTGTAGTTCATTTACATTCATTAATAGATTGTGTGTAATTACCTACTATAATTTATTTCAACTGTCCGCATTAAAGGATTATTGTCGTATTGGCCGTTGAACCAACAGTGGTGATAATTATACATATTATTATATAATTTATAGCAGAATGATCTTATATTCTTGTTGTGTGCCGTGGCGTAATAAATGACTTTTCTTTCTTTCTTTATATATAGTTTATTTCTTAGTATGACTACTTTAATCTAACTCGCCTGAGAACGCAGATAAGAGCCCACTAACATGTAAAAAGTGAATTTTGAACAATGATGACTCTTGTTTAGTCAAAGTCAAAGCATTTATTTTAATTTAAAGGCATTTGTACGGACGACCCCTTATTGACGTTATTTGTACTTTTTGTAACACAGTGGACGAGAATCTCCGGCGAGAGACGACCTTAAATGCATACCTGCGGTATGTTTTGGCACTGCCAGGCACGAAGGCGATGTGCCACGAGGGCGGCTGCGGCTCCTGCATCGTCATGGTGCGCGCCAGGAGGTACCCCAGCGGCATCGTCGAGACCTTCTCGGTTAACTCCGTAAGTTGTGCTTTCTCCATTTGCCATCACCAACTTTTTTATAAGAGAAGAAATCATCGAATGACTTCTCCCATCCGGGTGAGGCGAGTCGGAGTGTCAGACTCTTACTGACTAAAAACCACCCCGTTCCTGCTTTTGCACTTCGACCCGGAGCATATCGCCATCAGCCGTATTGTGGTGATCTGGTGGCTCTATGAGGAGCACGCGGATCGCAACCCCTGGAGTGTCTCTCGCGAGGGCTGGGGCCTGAGGTGGTTCATTCCCTCACGCGCCCAACCTCTTCCTTAGCCATGACTGCTTCGCATTAGGAGGCGACTACCGTCGCATTTTGTTTATTTTTTGTCTAACTTACCACGTGTATATACATTTCTTTTTAGAAACCAAGCGGCTTTAACTACAATTTAAACTGTCAAACACCAAGCGGTCACCGGTGACCGCGACCTATTGTTCTTTAATTGTGTCTATAAAACCGGTACTCGACGAGTTAATGTAATCTAAACAAATACATACTTACCAACATAAACTTAACGTTTACTCTCTTATTACATGTGACGTAACCTTACATTCAAGGATTAAAATGAGAAGCTAGGTTCAAAGAACATAAGTCGAAATTGCATCAAGCAAAAGTAAATCTTATTTTCCTTCACCCAGTGTTTGGTTCTGGTGTTTTCCTGCAACGGCTGGGAGATCACAACTGTCGAAGGTATTGGTAATGCCTTGAACGGGTACAGCGAGGTCCAGAGGCGGTTGGTGGAGTTCAATGGCACCCAATGCGGATACTGTACTCCAGGATGGGTGATGCAGATGTCCAGGTACGTGGCGTGACTAAAATGATACACATTCCCGAGGATGACGAGGAAGAACTTTATAGTTATTCATATTCAATCAATTATTTTAATGTCATCTTTTGTATTCTTTTAGTCTCCTTGACAAAAATCTGACCATGGATGAACTAGAAAAGTCCTTCGGCAGCAATACCTGCAGATGTACCGGGTTCAGACCAATCATGGACACCATGGTCTCATTCGGTGTAGACGCTTCTCCAGAACTATGTCAGAAAGTGAGGGACATTGAAGAGGCGAATCCATGCTCTAAAAACCCTAGGACCTGCCAGAGGAAATGTTCAGAGACCAGTGACTGCAGTGACTGGAGTATTGTGACTGAAGAGAAGAACGTGACAAGAGATACCATCTCTTTGAACTTTGGAAAATCGAAGTTCTTTAAAGTGTACCAACAGGATGACATTTTTGATGTCCTCAACAAATATGGTGTGGATTCGTATATGCTCGCCGACGGGAATACTGGAAAAGGTTTGTTGTTTTTAATATTATTTAACTTTTTATGGTAGTTTGAGAGAATTTCTTATTTTCTTTTGACCTTTCTTAACTAGCTTTGAAGTCGGAGTCTTAAAATATGAATATGAATATTGTATGGATCTACATGGAGCGACTAATTTGTTTGTATCATTATTTTATCCTTTTTCCATCATTTGGACATTTCAAAACGTTAAGAAAGTGGTACCTAACGGGTTGCCGAGGCTCCGGCTCGAAATGCAGGAGTAGGAACGGGGTGGTTTTTAGTCAGTAAGAGTCTGACACTCCCTTCTGCCTCACCCAGGTGGGAGCAGCCATTCGATGTTTTCCCCCCTTAAAAAAACTTTTCATCTTTATTTGACTGTTATGTTATCCACAATAAAGCATATTGCCTTTGTATGTAATAGATGAGTTTATTGCTCGATAATTAAAATTATTTTTATATTTATTTTGCCCCATTTGTATCTAAAACGACTTTATTACTAAAACTATTTACAGTGCAAGTAGTGGATAGGAATGTAATTTATCGATGCCATTATGTCATTCCAACTTGGATGATACCAAACAAAATTCTATTTATAAGTAATTTTAAATACAGATCTACGCCAATTCATTTAAACACGGGAATTAAAAAACTAATTAAAATTCTAAAATTATTCAGCAATGGTAGATGGTGGGCATCTAGGATATTTTATTTATAAAATAGATTAAAATGAATTACGTTTTACTCCATACATAATAATATAAAGACATAAAAACAAGAGTAAATAAAAGGGCCATTCATGTATGGAGTAACTGGAGCAATAAGTACTTTCTAAGCTTATTTAGACATCACCGACAAACGGTGAAGGAAAACATCGTGATGAAACTTGGGCCTATAATTTGTAATTATTAGTTTGAAATCGCCAACCCGCGTTCAGCAAGCGTGGTGAATAATGCTTAAACCGTATCTGTGTAATAAGTGGCCTGCTTTTTATGTTTTCTTTTTAAACCCTTGCCCCACACTAGGATTTTCTCCTGTGACGTGGGTGAGTTTACACATATACAAATTTACATACACAGACCCAAAACAACAATTAGTGGATCACACTGAGTGTTGTTCCGTGCGGGAATCGAACCCGCGGTACGCTACACGGCAGCCGGTTGCCCAGCCACTGCACCAACCGTGCGGTCTTTGGTCTTTGGTGCTTTGGTCAGCAGTAGCCACTTATAGGCAGTTAATGTGACGTGTGTTGAAGACAAAAATGATTTCTGTACAGGTATTGTTGAAACGTTTGAGTATCCAAGAATTATAATTGACATTAGCGACGTGGCTTCTCTGAAGAAATATGACTACGGTCAAAATCTGATTCTTGGAGCCAACGTTTCTATTGAAGATTGTATTAAGATATTCAAGGAAGCTTCAAGTAAGAAAAGTGAGTTCGCGTATCTCTCAGAGGTCGTGAAACATCTGGAATTGGTTGCTCATATACCAGTGAGAAAGGTAAGTGGTGATGGGGTGGTTCTTCCTTCGGGCATGGTATATATGTAGTTCGGGTTGTCAAACATTTTAATTTAAATCTAAAATGTTTCATATTAATGTCCTTGATACTTGTATAGTTAAATTTTCTTCATTTGTATCGTTTTTTTGGGCGATGAAATTGTATGCATTAACGATGATTGCTTAAGATTGTTATTAAGTAGTGATTTTAAGTTTCTTGTGATTTTTAACCGACTTCAAAAAAGGAGGAGGTTATACGTTCGGCCGGTATGTTGCTTTTTTTAAATGTAGTTATTGCTCTAGTAGACCATTGACTTAACGATTTATCTTTCCAGATTGGCTCCATTGCTGGTAACTTGATGTACAGGCGCGCAGTCCCGACGTATCAATCTGATCTATTCGTCATCTTCTCTTGCCTCGACGCCAGGATTACTGTTCGTAAGTATTTTAATCTCTTTACAGAAATAAAGAGTTACTTTATCCTTTCTTAAATTGATGTCCCCTACTGAATTACGGGCTTCCTCTACATCAGGGGATTTGCCTCCACTTTTGGCAGAGGTTATCTCTACGCCTGACAGGCGATTTGGAGATCACATTTTTACGCAATCTTTTTTAAAAGGTTTAAGAGAGGACTGTTGACCAGTGTCTGTCGAATATGGTAGTCTTATGGGAGAATTATGGTAGTCTATTCTAACGGCATTTGCGGAAATCATAGAAGTGTTTGTTCATTGTAAAAGTATTTTACATTCGGTTTTTGTTAATAGGAAATTGTCGCGGAAAAACAAAGACGTTAAAAACGATTGAGTTCCTGAAGTTTGACATGGAGGGATGGTTGATGACTAATGTTGCGCTGCCTCCCCTGAGTGAACGACATATCTATAGAAGTTACAAGGTATGTGTAAACATCAGATCAGGTTTAATTAGTTTAAAATAATATAACATTCACTTTTTAGCAGTTATTTTATGAGTGCCATATTTTGTATGATCAGAAATTCCAAACTCCTTTTTAAGACCTACATTGACTTTTCAACTTTTTGATGACATAACATAACATAGCATCACAGCTTTTATCCCCGAAGAGGTAGGCAGAGGTGAACATTATACTACTGTACAATGTAACACCCACTTTTCACTATTTATGTTACGAGTCCCATGTAATACGGGGTAAGCCTATTGCCATATACCGGGCACAATTCCAGACTCCGTGCTACTACTGAAATTTTTTTTAAAAACCTAGTATACTTTGCCTGACCCGGGAATCGAACCGGATACCCCTTGCCTGGCAGTCGCACTTGCGACCACTCGGCCAACGAGGCAGTTTGAATTTTACTTTCTTGTAGTGAGAAGCTTCTTCTATATCCGAAAACATGTATTGTTCCAGATCATGCCAAGAAATCAGAATGCTTTGGCCATCGTCAATGCGGCATATCTCATAGAATTGGGAAGAAAAAACACTGTTGAATCAGCCAGCATAGTATATGGAAACATTGATCCAGACTTTGTTCATGCCATTAATACCGAAGATTACCTGGTTGGAAAGAATATATTTACCAATCAGACTCTACAAGAAGCGATTAATGTGCTCAATTGTGAACTCCTGCCAATGGATATTCCTGGAGAACCTTCTCCTGAGTGCAGAAAGAAATTGGCTCTCGGTTTGTTTTATAAGGTAAGACACCTTTTTCTGAATTTAATGCTTATTGAGTAGTATTGCTATCGAATATCGATTTAGCATGAAAATTTTCGAAAATGAGTAAGTAAGTAATAGGAACTTCAATGGAAGTTCATTGTTTAATAGTTATTTACCGACTAGTACCATTGTTCTTATTTTTTATTTTTCTATTGCGATGGAAATCTTCATTGACTTTCCGCGTCGTCGGGATGACAGAGAGGCGTGCCAAACTCTTACTGGCAAACACCACCTTGACCCGGGACCCATTACGAAATCACAAGCACATTATTCTTATACTTACCTTTTGTTCTCTTGTTCATGAGATTGATATTGTTTATTTATCTCATTCTTTCTTTTCTTCTGCCACAAACATAGTTATGTCCTGCACCCACCTACTATTCTTTGCATCTACTTTGTCTTTATTACAGTTTATCCTAAACATAGCTCCTGCCGGCAGAGCGAACTCAAGATTCTCAACAGGTGGTTCACTCTTTAAAAGAGCAGTGTCCCGAGGCAAGGAGGACTATCAAACCGATAAGTCGTTGTTCCCTTTGAACCAGCCAGTTAACAAGTTGGAAGGTATCATACAAGCCAGTGGGGAAGCTACGTACACCAATGATATACCTCCGATCCCTCGGGAAGTGTTCGGTGCGTTCGTCTTGTCGACGATACACAAAGGAACCGTTGACAGTATTGATATTGAAGGCGCCTTGGTGAGTTTGTTTTGTTTTTTTAATTTTGTTTGGAATGGGTGCTCACCAAATGACGCAAATGTAGGAAGGGATATTTTTGTCCAATCACAGCAGCTGTTAAATATTGAACGACCAATGGTGTGACACCAGTTAATTCCCTATTGGTAAGAACGAGATTTCATATGTTTGTCACAGGCTTTCGTATGTTTAGGTAGTATAAGCAACTTTTTTTTCGGAATGGATGTTATAAACTTAATGTGGAGAGCCATGCTTAGGCACAAATGGACCGGCGAGACCAAAGTGATATTACGCCTTACAGAAAACCGACGTGAAACAACGCTTGCGTTGTATTTCGTCGTGTGAGTGAGGTTACCGGAGGCCCAATTAGCCTCCCTTTCCCAATCTCTACAATCCCTGAATCGCCAACTATCCTCAATTGCTATTTACCATCAGGTGATCCGTCTGCTCGTTTACCAGCTTATTCCATAAAAAGCTACTTCAAGTCTTATCATGTTTTATCTCACAGTACTAACATAATATCTGCATTCACACGTTTACAATTTTGTAGTGTATCTGCCTACTTTATTAATAAGCTCAAAAAAACATTACACTTCTTTTATACCATCTCCACATCCATATTTAACAGGACAACTTTACACTTTACTGTATCCATTTACATTCAGTAATTAAAAGAATAACGTATCGTAAAACCACAGAACATTTAAAGTAGGTTAGAAGGGCCATGTGGGCGGGATACGCGCGCCGCGATTATGAGCAAATTCTCATTGCCAACCAAAATGTCAAAAACCAGCCGTCAATCGTGCTCTTATTGTGACAGTGTACAAAGCTCCACAATTAATATTAAATTATGCCGTCTTGCGCAATTATAATGTGTCGGAAAAGAAGCCAGATGTTCAATGTAGCACGAGAAGGGATTTCTTTCCACCGGTGAGTCCAAAAACATTAAAACTCTCGTGATATTTGTAATTATAACATTAGCATTATGAAGTTTGTTTACAAAAACGATATATGTCACAAACAGAAGAATATTAATACATTGCTTGCAATAGTTGTATACTTTTTTGCACTACGTGAGCAATCGCGCAGTGTATTACGTTGATAGCGAGAGTCCCGATTACCAAATTCAATGCCTTATTTCCTCGAATCGATAGAGTGGTGTCAATTTGTAAACAATGTCGATAATTGCTAGGATACAAAATATTATGTTCAAATAGAATAATAACTGAAATAATATTTCCCATACTTGTTTAATTCAATTAAATATTTTTTTATAATTATAATGTGAACAATTTATTATAAATATTTAAAAATGTATAAAGCCGCCAGTAGCGGTAAAAATCTAAGTTATCGCAGGTCAGAGTCTCCAATAAAAGAATTTCCGAGCAATACGCAGAATATTTCAGAATATATCAATTGACTTCATCTTCCAAACAAATTTTTTTGTCCTTTTAATACTTGGTCGTAATAAATAATATTATATACTTAGGTTTCAAGTGAGGGATTGTTGTTTTCGTATTTAAGTTTCATGTAATTTTTTCAATTTAAACTGAGTTAGGTATAATTTATTTTTTTAGGTTTCCTACAGATCCAAATATAAGAAAACTGTGGATTGAGGCAACAGGAAATATTGATTGGATCCCTACTAAATGTAGTACAATTTGTTCGCAACATTTCGATGATGATAACTACATAATAACAAAGTCATTATATTTAAACAAGAGTTTATTTTTTTTTTCTTGTATAGAAGCACTATTTTATATGGATTGTCAGTATCAATAGACTTAAGATATTTGTTTTCTCTTGGTTTTGTTTTTTATTTTAGTACGTTCTGTTATTTGTATGATGTGTCAGGTATGTCTTTACATTATTCTCACATGTGTGTACAATATTGGAATATGTATCAGAGCAATGTAAAACAGACGTTTTACGGAAAGATTACTCTTTTCTTAAAAAGAGGAGGATGGAGTTTCTTGCTAGTTCTTCTCCACTCGAATCGACATTTTGGAACGAGCGCCTAGCTTCACTTCAGTGACAGACTGACAGACTATTATTTATTTCATATTTGTTCACGTATCAAAAGTACCAAATTATGGTTTAATTGAAATAAATGCTTTTGTCTTTTGAGTTTGAGTTTTTTTTTAAGTATTAAGTAAAAATGTAATTTTAGAAAATCTTAAACAAATATATGGAAATTTGTTAAAACACAGTTATGTATTTTTATTTGTTTCTATATTCGCATAAATACGTGATTACAGAAGTTCACATAGCAATACTTGTAAAGTAAGAAGCTAGATGATAATACTTTATCGATATCAATGATCGACCTTTTGGTCCCCCTAGCATACGTGAGTTTTAAGGCGTACATACGTGTATGTCAAACGAAGTGATTGCGTCAGTGTGACAACCAATAGCAAACCTTTCGACCTAGTGCGTGTTGTTTATTTGTGTGCATTATCCGCGTAGGATTGGTCTCTTGCTTGTAGTAAAGTCGAAGAGTGGGGGCAAACGGCGACACGCGTTCTGATACAAATCAGGAACTATTTCCTTTCTAACCTACTTTAAATGTTCTGTGCGTAAAACCACAAAAACATGGAATTCTTCCAATATTTGAAAAAAATGAGTCAATTGAAATAAGTCTCAAAGATAAGAACAGCTGTTGTTTATTTTTTTGTTAAATAAATTTTGGAACACGAAATATGAAGCGACATTGTATAATTGAATATGCTAATACATTTATTGTTATAACATGCAACGAGTGGAACACTTGTGATAACTTATTTTAATATTGATTACGCACAATACATTATTTGTGTAAGAAACATAGTTACCTACTTTTTAATGTAAAAATGTCAAGTCATGGTTCTTAATATATATATGTCACAGAATTATCAATAAACCTATTAGGTAATTAGCTATTTTTACCTACTTCAAGAAAAGGAGGAAGGATATGTTTAAATATATGTTTTCTTATGATTACTGATATATGCAGATGAACACTAGAACACTAGTGCAATACATCTATGCGCAGATGAAAATAAAAATTGTACTTTAGTGTAGTAGCTAGGTTAAGTTACCGGTTACCACGTAACGTCGGGTTCGATTACCTACTACTCTTAACAACAGGTACATCAAATTATTGCCCATAACCTGGGTGTTATCTGTGTGTGTATGTCAAACTTGGGATTGTAATTCTGGAGAAATGTCTATTGCGAAATGATAGTAAACTACATTTTTGTCATTTTGATTTCTTATTTGCTATACAAAAGTGGTCCTAAATACAATTTAATTTCGGCAGAAAATGGATGGCGTAGTCGCAATATTCTCTCCCAAGGACATTCCCGGCGTCAATTCCTTTACCGTCCCTGGCCTGCCTTTACAAACTGAAGACGAAGAGATTCTTGCAGATGAAGTCAAATTCTACGGTCAACCTATAGCCATCCTGGTAGCAGAAACTGAGAAATTAGCAGACACTTTGGCTAAGAAAGTCAAAGTTACTTACAAGAATGTTAGTTCATCTTCACCAGTGCTTACAATAGATGATGCAAAGAAAGATAGCAAGAGATACGTTGGAGGAGGACCGTCTATTGAAAGAGTTTCTAGAGGGAATAAAACTACGAAGATTATAAAGGGTATTTACAATATAGAAGCTCAATACCCCTACTATATAGAACCTATAACATGTGTTGTAGTACCAGTAGATGATAAGCTAGAGGTGTATGACTCGACGCAGTGGATGGATCTGACGCAGAATGCTATTGCACGGTCTTTGGGGATTAAAGAAAGCGAGTAAGTTTTTATTTAACTTTAAGATTAATGATACCTAATCATAATTAAATGTCTTGCAAGAAATACATAGGTATAAGATTCTACTAATTCGGAATTTTGCCAAGTTTCAAACTATTTTCTAAGACCTGGCTTTATTGCGTTCTGCTCTGGCTTTAGGATCGTATTCAATAGATAATGACTGTTACTTCTTTAAAATTGTCATCTTTTCATTTAGGTCAGCACGAATTACATCAATTCTCAGAACTGTGTGTTTGAACTTTAATTTTTTTTTCCAGTATCCTGTTACAAGTTCGTCGAGTGGGTGGTGCTTTTGGAGGCAAAGTGAGTCGTAATACGCAAGCAGCTACAGCATGTGCTCTTGTCGCTAAGAAATTGGACCGGCCCTGTAGATTCATACTCCCACTGCAAACTAACTTAAGCGCAACTGGAAGGAGATTGCCGTGTCAATGCGATTATGAGGTAAAATAGATTCTGTTCTGTCAGACATCACTTGAGTACCAGATACAAATGGCTGTTTGAATGTAACTTAACATAGGGACTTGGAGCCATTATTCAATGAATCTCAACTCTTCAAAGCTATAGAGCTTAGGTTAGCTTAGACCGATTTTCCAGGTTGATATAGATCAACCTGGAAAATCGAATATATTGACAATTACACTGAGTTTACATAAAGATATTTGGAGCACCTGTTATAAAATATTTTCCATTACAATCACACACGTCTACATTTTGTGCAATATAAACTAGATGACGTTTTCAATGTTTGTTCCCTAACGAAGACATAATCCTCAGGTTGGAGTCGATGATGACGGGAAAATCCAGTACTTGAACGCCACCATCATTGAAGACAATGGTTGCTCCAACAATGAAGATATGCTTGAGTATAGTGTGGGTGCTTTCTCTAACTGTTACAATAAAGACACGTGGTCAGTCAAATCTGCGACGGTTACCACTGACACTCCCTCTAACACTTGGGTTCGAGGGCCAGGTAAGTTTTCTGATTGAATTGTTTTTTATGGCAATGTTAGAAATTATACGTTATCATGTCATCATGACTCAAAATGCCCAACGATATTTAAATGTGTAATTGTGTTTAGGCACAGTCGAAGGCATCACATGCATAGAACACATCATGCAACACATTGCATTCGCAGTAAACAAGGACCCTACTGCTGTTCGCCAAATAAACATGAGATCAGAAGATAATGATCTTCCAGACTTGATCGAATCCTATAAAAGGAAGTAGACTATGATAGAAGAGCTAAAGCGATTGAACAATTTAATCAAACTAATAGATGGATGAAAAAAGCCATATCCATCAACGTCATGAGCTGGCCAGTGATCTATTATGGAAATTATTCCGCACTAGTGTCAATATACAGAGGTGACGGTACAGTTACTATTTCCACTGGGGGCGTAGAAATGGGGCAAGGAATAAATACCAAATGCGCTCAAGTTTGCGCTCACGAACTTGGAGTACCTCTCGAATACGTCAAAATTGTTCCCAATCACTCATTTGTGGCTGCGAACAATGTTTTCTCTGGATCTAGTATCACTACTGAGAGTTGTGCCTATTCTATTATAAGAGCTTGTGAAAAGTTAAAGGCAAATTTGGCTCCGATAAGAGAACGCATGCCAGGAGCCACATGGAAGGAAATTATTCAGAAAGCAGGCGAAGAGCAAGTTGAACTGACCTCCTTGTTCATGATGAGGACACTGATGAGAACCTGAAACCTTACAGTGCATTTGCTGTAGCTATCATTGAGGTATTGCTGGATGTGACCACTGGGCGATATCAAATTGATCGTGCAGACATTCTGGAAGATGTTGGCATGAGCATAAATCAGAAATTGGATATTGGGCAGGTCAGGTTACTATTTATTCCTCCTTTTGCACTCTCATGTAAATGATATGCTTTTGAATTTGATGCTCAACACTGAGTACTTTAAGGGTGCGCCCACATCGGGCGAATGCTCCGCGAATGCGCAGCTCTCAAACCCGTGGCAAGCTGCGCGCGTATATTTATAATTATTATTTATATAAACCTTGTATGAGTTGAGCACCAAACCATTGCCATCACTGCACGCGCGCAGCTCGCGAGCAGCCCGCGGCGCATTCGTCAGATGTGGACGCAACCTAAGAGTTATTAACGAATGGACTGGTCATCATCTATTTCTGTTAGACTGTTTAACTTTGTAGTAAATATAAAAAAGGTATAGATTAAATTAATTGGATTTTAATACAGGTACAAGGTGCATACGTACAAGGCATGGGCTACTATACGTGTGAGAAGATAGCTTATGACAAGAAGACGGGCAAGATGGAGACGAACCGTTCCCTCAAATACCATGTCCCTCTTGCCTTAGACACGCCTGTAGAGTATAATGTCAAATTGAGGTACAACAGCAAGAACCCGAAGGGCGTCCTTGGATCTAAAAGTAAGTTTTGGAAAAATGTTCTTTATTATCTACCGTTTTTGAGTCACATTTGTTTCACACGACACTACCTCGAAAATGCGTATCTTAATGCCTTTTGAGGTGGTCATAGGTTGTTTTGTAAAATTCGAAAATCTTAAGTGTGGGAGAGCCATGCTTCGGCACGAATGGGCCGCCTCGACCAGTGATAACGGCCTCACAGAAAACCGACGTGAAGCAACGCTTGCATTGTGTTCCGTCGTGTGAGTGAGGTTACCGGAGGCCCAATTACTCTCCCCTTCCCCAATTCCTGAATACCCAACGATCCTCAAACTCCTAATCCCCAAAAGGCCGGACCTGTAACGCCTCTGGTGTTCCAGGTGTCCATGGGCGATGCCGATTTCTTACCATCAGGTGATCCGTCAGCTCGTTTACCGCTTATGAAAAAAAAGAGTGGTCTATACCAATAAGACATAATTATGACGATTCCAAATAAAATTATTCTGATACGTTATATAATAAATTATGCTGTTACAATCAACAAAAGTTAACAATAAGCTTTCTTTGGTGCCAGTTCTTCAATGTTCGTCGCCAACTACGATCTTTAGATAACATTTTTTACTTAGAAATTAAGTAGTGGTGACTGTATTTTACCTAATATTGTAACTATTTGATTCTTTTTAATTTCTCTTTGTGTGTGTTAATGTAATTTGTGTAAAGCCGTGTTAACATAACAATAATAAATAAATAAACATGTTTAAATGTACTTAACTTATCGTGATGTTCCAGCGTGTGGTGAGATGGGTGTTGGTATAGCTCATGGAATAACGCACGCGCTGCGCCAATGCATCATGGAGTCAAGAAAGGACTCTGGATACGATCCCAACGAATTCATCTATATACGTGAGTACCAGTCTTATTTCGGTATGACCATTGATCTCTGAAAGTTCGCTGTATTATGAGCATTTATAAAGGGTTTGCCATAATCTTCACAATCTCCACACATCTTACTTAATTCGAAGTCAAATTATGTACCTACCCATAAAACACAGTTACAGTTACAGGCAAAATTCATTCTAGTGTCAAGCTTGTCGTACTTTACAATAGCAAGCATGATGTAGATATCTTTGGTACAAGCCTAAGGAAGGCTAGAACTATGACTAGTGAAGACTTTTAGGAAAACTAATTTTAAAATATATTAAGAACCTATTTACCAATTATTTTTTTAAAATCATTTTCTTACTGTGTGCCTGCCGTTTTTGATTATTTTCAATTTCACTTTCGCCTTAGCTACTACTACCTATTTAGTCACTATTCGTGTGAATCTGTAAGAGGCTCAATGAGACTATTTTTCTACAAAATTTGTATAATGTACATAGCTGTTGATTTACCATTAAATAAATATTTAATAAATACTTTTCGTTTTACAGCGGTGCCATACGATACTGAAACGATACTGAAGGCTTTGGATGTGAAACTCGAAGAGTTCGTTCTTAGTTCATAAGTTAAAATTAACTTGGGATTGTTTTTGGAGGTTTTTGTACATTGCTATTGAGTCATATGGGCTATGATAGACATAATATTTGTGCCTTACTTTTTGATATACATATGGCATTTTTATGCTGGATGTAATATGAGTATATAACTAAATATTTACTCTCATTTTATACTATTTTAAAAGGTTTCTAGGGAATTTATTGGTGTAAAAAGTTTTAATAATTAAGAAATAAACTGATAAATAAACTTATGTTCATCCTGTATTATGTACGTAGGTATGTTAAGGTAAACCGATTAATTTACTGATTTTTTATTTCAGATTTAAATAAATGTGATGTTACTTTAAAGTGTTTTTAATTTTTATTACTTTGTATTTAAATTGGAATAACTACGTTTTATAGGACTTTGATAGCTTATTCTTCGGGGACTCCGATCAAGAAGGCTGACCTGATCAGCTTATGACGTGACGTAGGCACTGCCCCAGTGTATCATGTAGTCCTGAAAGGGGAATGATTCAACGATGACTGGATACAAGTGATTTTTTTTTGAGTTGTTATGCTGACTCGAATCTCGTTGGCGGTGGTACGTGCATTGGAACGCTCAATTCCCTACAATATGGTAGAGTTGGGCGTGTCATGTTCGTGGACGGGCACCGTGAACTATATAGACTGTATGATTTATCTTTTTCGATGTCTGACTGGACTTTGTTGAGGATAATGTAACACCGCAATCAAGTCCACAATTGAACCAACAAACTATGTACACGTTGCTCATAGGTAGGCGTGCTCCATCATCGGCCACATCATCGCTTACCACCAGGGCCTTTAGCCAAACGCCACTTTAGCGCTTGTCCACCGAGAGAGTAGAAATTAAAATGTATGGGGATGATACTGACAAGTGTCATAATTTACGTCAATTCCATATAATTTAGTTTTCTACTCTACAAGTAGACTAGCGCTAAATGGCATTTGGCTACAGCTGCAGGTAAGATAGTGGTCAAACGTCGACCTATCAATATCAAGTATAAAAAGATGTAACTAAAAATTGTATTGTGAACCTGATTGAAAAAGAGTAACCTTCTCCATAGAAATCTACGCTTGGAATGGGCAAATAGCATCACTTCAAATTTGTTGATTTTCCAAGTGGTTTCCTGGTCTAATTGAAATAAATGAATTATACTTTATAACTTTTTTTCTGTTCTTAACACGTTAAACGCCATGGGGGTCACCGGTGACCGGCGTTAGCGGAGGATTTACCTTCAACAGTTTTTTATTGGCAGTCAAAGTCTTAAAATTATTAGTTTTCTTATTCTGTTTTTCGACTGTAGTATTGCCATTTGTGTAGGACCTAATGTTGGTTATCTGGAGTAGTCTTTTTTTGATATTTCTACAAGTAATTAAATAAAACGTCGATTCAGTAATACAAGTTTATTCTCGCATCATCAAACAAAAATCGTCTAAATACATTCAAAATATAAATCTACAAATAATCCAATTGTAGGCCTCGAATGGTTAGTCTTTAGTTAGGCCATAGTTAACAAAAAAGGATTCGTCAAAAATTATTCCAAAAAAAAAGAAAAATCAACCAATAAAAAAAACAAAATAGAATAAATACTTACAAAATAAGTTATGGGTTCTTAATACAATAATTATAATAAAATCAATTTCGGTTCTAATGTAAAATATACATTACAATAATAGTCTATACATAATTATATCAACAGTTAAGTGTTATGCAAAAAGTGCAATCGAAATGATGTTTTAATTTCAAGTATTTACTAAAATTAAAGACTGGTACACGCGATTACAGCCTTTATATACCCTTATAATGAAATTTATATTCTAGCTTCGAACTTGTAAGGGCTAGAATCGCGTGTTAAGGCCATGGATGAGAAAACTTGACCTGTAGAAAATGTACAAAATCTTTTTGTATTTCCTTTAGTAGTTTTCTCAAGCTTGGCTTTCCAGTCTGTTCGGATAGATTGGCCAAGGAAGCGAATTGGTCAATATTACATTACCGTTTTATTTGGCTTCTATGGTCTATATCTACGAATTATAAAACTACCTCTATTTAGTCGCCATTTTTGTAGCCTTTTACAATTAGCCCGTCTTTAATATCTGTACAATAAAGAAGATTATTTAATTAATATTCAAAGCTAAATAAAATTACTAAGTATCTACAATACAGAACAAAAATATTTCTTTAAATTATTGTTGAAAACCTTCTTTATTGCAAGACATAATTAAATAGAAATAAGATGGTAACGAAATCTTTGAATTATTATTATTAATAATACAAACAATTGGTAGAAATTTCTATGAAAGCTAATTGAGTATAAATTATATTGGTTTCAGAGTTCCGTGGTAGACTAGATGTGGTATTAAATATTTACTTTTTATATATGAAATGTTTGTACAGTACAACAGGGTGAATAGAATTCGAGGGGTGAATGAATATCCCATTTTTGTATCTATTCACCCCTCGAATTCTATTCACCCTCTTTTACGGTATATAAATTGTCTAATAGTGTATTTAAACTGTCAAACACCAAGCGGTCACCGGTGACCGCAACCTATTGTCCTTTAATTATGTCTATAAATATGGTACTCGACGAGTTAAGGCCTGGTATTTTAAATCCCAACTGTCATTACAACATACCTATATCATTTGCTAGGTTTTGTTTAATACATTTTCAACCTTATGCTTTTGTTACAAAGTCGAACGTCAACTACCAGAAAAAAAAGCTAAACTAAAGAGTTTAGCTCGCATAGTTAAGCCAGGTTTTCATATACGACTGCTTAGCTGGCATACCTACTTTGCAGTGGATGTACACGTATGAACATTAGCTTAAATATGAGAGTGGCTTAAGGAACTGACTTATTTTAGCTGGCAGTAAATGTTCGGCTTTATAACATAAGCATAAGGTTGAAATTCTATTAACGACTGAAGTTTGTAATAATATTTATGGGAGTCCCAAGGTCCAGGTGGTCTATGTGATCTTCAAATTATAATTTATAATAAGCTGTTTACAATATTTGCATTCACACGGAACTCTGAATAAATAGATGCCAAAAATATACAAAATATACCCTATGTATATTACAATACAGATCATTATTAAAAAATGCCCACAAAATGTAATTTATACGACATTATGCAAGATAAATACTTATATTACTTCACTATACTGATAAAAAATACACAAAAGTTGTCATTTTAGCAATTATCGACTTTATCGCTTTATTCTTAAGACTAATTTTAAAATGACATGTTTATCAGTATAATATAGTAATTAATAATATCAGCAAAATTCGAAATATAGTCCAATTTTAACAGATCACAAATAAAAGGCCCTTTTCAGTAAACAGAGGACCTTATAATATCGAAATAAGGTTGAAATTTAAGAAAAAATGAGATTCTAAGACTTAGAGTAAAAATGTTTCACCTCGCTTTTCAGTTTCATTGGTCGTTTAGACGTTAACAATAAGTGTTAAGATTCGTTGAAAGATCTTTAAATATATCAGTCCATAAGTATATCACCTTTACAGACATACCGATTTACCAATTTACGACTTTATAACGTGTGTCTCAAGGTTGTATTTAGAAAAAAGTTGTTACGAAAATGTATGTATTAGATTTTTGATATTAAGTATTTGGGTTTTCGTAGACGATGCCTTTTGACATTTAAATAGAGCGAACAAAGGACAATCCCAGACTCCAAACATGGTTTACACAAATTTTGAAATCAAAACACTGAATTATGTCATACACGGGAATCGCTCTCAAAAATCTAATACATACATCAATTCCACAAATTAATATTTAATTATTTGTTTAAGCTTATGGGCACTATTGCAAATGTGATTTTATGTGAAGAAAAATAATTAAATTATATAAAAGTATATGAAAATAAGTAAAGCCAAGTCTACATAGTCCTACATTGAGATTCACACTAGCACGTGTCCACACCTTTATATATTAGGCCGCGGTTACACTGGCGTTCAATACGACCTTTTTAACAAATGGACCTAAATTCTATCTCGCGATTATTATATAATTGGCAAATATACAAAAAATAATGTATTTTACGAAACAATTCATATATTATATATTTTTTTTTTTTAGAATATTATCAGATCATGTTTATTGTTTTTGTTATAAAACAAATTGACAAAATAATTAGGGATTTCTTCAGAAACGATTTGCCTTTAGAAAATACTTATTGCTTGCATTTAATCAACTAAAAACTATTCAAAGTCGCATAAAACGCCAGCGCGATCGCTCCTACATCAGTCGAATGAAAGAACAGATCTACCCGAACTAGCACAGTTAGTACAAAAGATTAGAATCATACTTCATACGGGACACCCCACGTATTATGCTAAAATGGACTCCGATCTATAACTAGTACAGGGGTAGATAAATGTATTACTTATTTACACTAAATTCCTCCATTTTGTGCAATATCCAAGTCTGTATAAAAAGCTATCGAACTGGCATAAATTAAAAGTAATATCCGACTCTAACATATAACTCCAAGCTGTATAGAAGAATTTCATCCAAAATATATTCAGAAAATTTCGCTAAGAATAACCTCTAGGTACAATTTATCGCGCCCTGTACACGTACATATACAACTACATGTATAAAATTGGCATTTAAACTGCGTATAAACATCGACACATTCATACGAATCATACATTATACACTTCAAGCCGAAACCACTATCGTAGCAACATGTCAAACAATTAATAATACGCTGAAAAAATAAACTATAAACTATTTTTAATCTATCATTAAAAAGCCAATAAAAATAGGCTGAATCGTTCGCTACAAAATATGAGGTATATTATTATTTCGTTTACTTCCCATTGTTTATATATTTGGTGGAATGCTATCATAGTTTGCGGGCCATTTTCTATCCTCGAATAATAATATGAGGCGACCGCTTTGAAAATATTACATAATTACACTGTACAAGGAAGTCGGTGCGGGCAAGTGTGATGACAGTAAGATCACTTTAAAGAATCATAGTTTTTCTTGGGCAAGAGTTTATATATAAATTTACCTTAGCACGCCTTGTCCCCAAAGCAGTCGCATCAAGTCCGTGTTCTAGTGCGGGGGAGGGCGCGGCGGTAGTCACGCGACGCCGGAGTCCTGCGCGTGCGCGCGCTTCTTGTCGGCGCGGTGGTGGTCGGGCGTGGCCTTGAGGATGTCGGGCTGGCCGTGGCGCTCGTACGAGTGCGAGCTGAGCGTCAGCGTGTTGTTGCGGTCGGACAGCGTGGTGGCGTGCGACGTGAGCGTGCCGTGCGCGGCGTGCTGCAGCGTGCAGGGCGACGAGTGCGCCAGCGTGCAGGGCGACGAGTGCGGCAGGGTGGACGCGGCCGCGCGCACCGACCGGTGGCTGCCGTTCCGCGTCAGCGAGTTCATCTGCGGCGTGCCCGGCCCGCCCGCGCGGAGCATTGCGTTCTTGTAGTCCGCTATGAGATGGGTTAGCTCTGCCATCTAAAGAAGCAAAAAGGTTTCATTAGAGTTCACTCTTGAAAGAGCGCAATTAGTCTTTGTTGATATTACGCCCGAATACTAAAACGCTATTCAAATCATTTTAACTCGTCGAGTACCGGTTTTATAGACACAATTAAAGAACAATAGGTCGCGGTCACCGGTGACCGCTTGGTGTTTGACAGTTTAAGTCGCGCTTAAGTGTAGTTCAGTCAATACGAATTCTGTGTAAAATGACAGAGATGGCACTATCATACCTTTAACGAAAGGGTAGGCAGAGGTGCACATAATGACACTAAATGCCATTGTATAATGTAACACCCACTTTTCACTATATATTTTATGAGTCCCATGTAATAGAGGGTGAGCCTATTGGCTATGTGCAAAGCGAGTAATGGCGGACAGATAACGACCGCAGCGCACAACACGGCAGAAATTGGAAACAAAAGCGGACGATCAGCTGTCAAATGTGTTGATTGCAGTACAAAATCATAGCAAAGAAATGGGCCATGACTGTTGTTGCGTTGTTAACTGCAGAAATAACGGTCTCAATAGCAAATGTATTTTTTTTAGTGTCGTAGATATCTGACGAATTACGTGGGCTCGTATTAAGTAGCTCTGGCCGTTTTGTCGCAGTTCTTCCACATTTCTTACATGCTCGGCTAATACTAATTTATTGCCTTTTGTCTCAGTTTGTGGTTGGAAACTAATATTATGTGTAATAGTTTCAAACCCGGTTTTTATTTTTATATTCATTTTACAGTAAAACTATTGAATAAATTGCACTTAACTTACTTACTATTACTATTTTAATCTTTGGTTTCATTTATATTTGCAAAGAAAATTATAACGTTTACATTGTTATTATTTGACAGCTTCCGCAAATGTTGTAAACGCTACGCGTCGCCACCGTCGCGCACATAGCCAATTGCCATATGGCACGATGGCACGATATTTAAGTATAATTGGGTACTTGCCAACTAGTCAAATTCAATTCTTTTTTCGAACTGTCAAAAACGATAGTTTTCTATGAATATTATGTACGAGATGGTGTATTGTGACGTCACGTTTTTATAGAGTCAAACAACATATTTATTTCTTAAAAAATTGCTGGATAAATACTAAAATTAAGTTGGTCATAAAATCAATTAATGAAAGTGTGATTATTTTTTAATATTTTATTGTATTGAACAGTCAAAATAATTTATTTTTGCTTAAGGCAAGTACCCAATTGGTAATAGTGTTCCATCGTTATTACATTACTATTAGCAAAACTGAACTTACAGTTTTCAAAAATTTGAATCACATATGGGTATATTATGATGACATGTGCTGCGTGTAATTGCATCTACTATATTAAACAATTTCTGTGAAACAAGAACAATTTTAAATAATATTGCAATATTAATTTTAATGTACTTACTTTTGGCTTGTTGAGACTAATCAACATCTTGTGTACTGGACTCGCTGCGTCTTCAGCGTCGATTAGCATCATCAGGTCATCCTGGAACGACATCGTATTTAATTAGTTTTTAGTAATGAAGAGCAAATGCCATTATTACAATTTGATTGTAGTTAAGAAGTAACGGACAGTTGTTTAAAGTGTTGTGAGTAACATGACATTCCATTAATTATTGAAGTCTTTTTTTTAAGGGGGGAAATCACCGATTGACTGCTCCCGCCTGGGTGAGGCGGGAGGGAGTGTCAGACTCTTACTGACTAAAAACCACCCCGTTCCTTCTCCTGCACGTCGAGCCGGAGCCCCGGTTACCCGTTAGGTTCTCCGCGACTCCGAATCGGCTATTGAAGAGTTTGGGGTATGATTGATCTATTTAAATAAAAATGAATTTCCGTTCGTTAGTCTCGCTAAAACTCGAGAATGGCTGAACCGGTTTGGCTAATTTTGGCCTTGATATGTTCGTGAAAATCTAGAGAAGGTTTAAAAGGTAAGAAAAAACCTTTCTAGGCAGTACGAAGTACGAAGAAGTCGGGTCAGCTAGTATGTAATATTTTTATTATTAAATGCATAGAAGCAAATCTGTATAATAATTTAAGACTTTATTAAGAGTAAAATATTTGAACATGTATCTCAATTTACCTGTAATCCACCGAAGAGTCCAATAGAGGTGAGTGCGTAACGTCCTATGACGGCCATGGACGCTAGCTCTAGCACCGTCACGCCATCTTCCGACACTGCTAGCCAAACCATAGACAGGTCGGGTTGTTTTATCTAGAAGCATAAATGAAGAGAGTCATAATTATAATGAATTTGAGGCTAGTTGTTAATCTTATTTTACGACTTATTGTAAGGCTCCAATGGCCAAAGAGCTGTTTTAACGTCGCGTTAAAAATGTACTAAGAGATAAAAAAGATATGAGAGTAATGTCGGAATGCTGAAACGCTACTCAATTTTAAGTCGTGTTTAAGTATAGTTCTATCTCTACAAATTCTTTGTAAAATGACAGAGATGGCACGATATTTGAGCACGACTTAAAATTGAGTAACGTTTCAGTATTCCGGCATTAAATAACAGACTCCGTGTTGTTATTGAGAATTCACTAAAAATACATAACATCACGCTTTTTATCCCCGAAGGGGTAGGCAGAGGTGCACATTATACCACTGTACAATGTAACACCCACTTTTCACTATTTATGTTATGAGTCCCATGTAATAGGGGGTGAGCCTATTGCCATATACCGGGCACAATTCCAGACTCCGTGCTCTTACTAAGAATATTTATAAAAACCCAGTAATACTTTGCCCGACCAGGGAATCGAACCCGAGACCCTTTGCCCGGCAGTCGAACTACTACTTTTACTAAAAAATAGAAAAATATATATCCCGACCAGGAAATTGTATCTGACATACTTTGTTGGGTCGCCGCATTTTTGATCACTCCACCATGGAGTCTTATCAGATCGACAACAACGTCATACGAGTAGTATAGAGACCATTATCATGAAAGATATAGGATTATGTGAGGTACATAGGATTTAAGTAAATAACTAATAACAATTTGGTGTCGAATTATCAGCATAATAGGGATGATGACAGGGTATGAAAATTTAAAATCTAATTAGTCCGTAAGTTAGGTAATGAAAAAATATTAAACACGTATTTTTTTTATTTTGTCGTATAATAAAACAATACTTAGATAAAACGAATCAAAGTTTAGGAGTGGGGGCTAAAACGTCATTTCTACGTATAAAATGTACATAGAAGTGACGTCACGCGACATTTCAAATCAATACTTCGAAATTATTCGTTTCTGAAAGAAAATGAAAAATACGAGTCTAATGATTTAAAATAAATCTACCTGACGGTCATTATAATAAAAATTATGCATCTACCCTATTTTAGTGAGTAAGCCGTAATCTATATATATAAAAGAAAGTCGTGTTAGTTACACTATTTATAACTCAAGAACGCCTCAATCGATTTAGGTGAAAATTGGCAGGGAGGTAGCTTAGAATCAGGAGACGGACATAGGATACTTTTTATACAATACTTTTTTTACTTTTTACCGAAAATTACGAACGGGAACGGGGGGAAAATGGGATTGCGCGTACGAAGTCGCGGGCAGAAGCTAGTATATTATAATTAAAATAGAATTACTAAATCCACTCACCCTAGCCTGGAACAGTGTAGCACCAAAGAAGGGCCACTTCCTCGTACAGTTGAGGTAGATCCTCACACAGTCCGCACTACTCCTCCCTTTCAGCGCCACCCATTTTGAACGCAATTTCTCTTCCACATCCCTGAAATACAAAGACACGCAATAAAATATATTGAACACTTCTATTTTCTTTATAACATAACATAACATCACGCCTTTATCCCCGAAGGGGTAGGCAGAGGTGTACATTACGGCACTTAATGCCACTGTACAATGTAACACCCACTTTTCACTATGTAATAGGGGGTGAGCCTATTGCCATATACCGGGCACATTTCCAGACTCCGTGCTACTACTGAGATTTTTTGAAAAAACCCAGTAATACTTTGCCCGACCCGGGAATCGAATCCGAGACCCCTTGCCCGGCAGTTGCACTTGTGACCACTCGGCCAAAGAGGCATTTTCTTTATGTTTTTGGTAAGTTAAGTGACATCTTACATTAATTGCAGGTATGTAAATATGTATAATAAATATATCTATCTATATACATATATAAAAATGAATCCCTTTTTCCTTTGGTCACGGCATCACGCGTGAATGGCTGGACTGATTACAATAATTCTTTTTTTGTTGTATTTTTATTATTAGGAGAAGGTTCTTAAGACAAAAACATCCTGTAAATCCTACGGGAACGGGAGAAAACGGGATTGGGCGTTCGAAGTCGCGGGCAGAAGCTAATGTATAATAAATGTAGGTAAATGAAAAAATAGACATACCGTAAAATGGGGTGGTTAGGATTTGAGGGGTGAATAGAGACAAAGAGGGGTGAAATGATATTGGGAAATTTTTCATAGTATTCATTCACCCTTCTTGTCCCTATTCACAACTCGATCCCTATTTACCCTATTTTACCGTAACTCTACAAAACATTAAAGAAAATACATTAATTATAATTATGTAGACAGGTGTAACATGTGTGTCTGCAAAACTTGTTATTAATAAGAGCAAACGTTTTTTATGTTTACTAGACGACTAATATGTAAGAGGTGTCGCTGATCACCGCTGTAAGATCTATTTATCCCTCCTTGTTTATTTGCTAGTGTTAAACTATTGGACATTCATTTTTGACATGTACAGAGATTGAACAAATATGTTTTCATGCTTCATTAAAGCATTTGGTGTTCACAAAAACAATGGTCTTCACTACAAAGTTAAGATACATGACAAAACAACCAAAACTAAACCTAAACACCCTTGCAATAAAACACAAATTCCACGACTCACCTTAATTCATCATTACTAAGGCCGGCTCTGTACCTATAAGGATAGAACCGATGTGCTAGAGGCTGGTTGTGTAGCGTGTTGGCGGCGGAGTAGTCCCCCATGTCCAGTTGCGCCATCAACGCGCCCAGCTCTGCAGCTAACTCCCTAGTGACTGGGAAACGACCTGCTACCACTGGAACAAATGGTTTTGGAGTTAGTATTACTCTGCTATCAGATGGAAATTTTGTTCTGAAATATAGTTCCCAATCTGACTCAACTGCACGGTTGGTGCGGTGGCTGGGGAACCGGCTGCTGCATAACATGTACTGGGTTCGATCCACAAATTGTTGTTTTGGGTCTGGGTGTCATGTGTATGTGAACTTGTATGTTGTCTGTGTATTTGAAAACGCACCCACGACACAGGAGAAAATTCTAGAGTGGGTCAACGTTTAAAAAATCTAACAAATCTCCAATCATCAAATCCGTAACCCGTGAAAGGTCGGCAACTTCACTGGTGTTGCGGATATCCACAGGTGGCGTCGATTGCTTACCATCAGGGGATCGTTCTGCATATTTACCGGGGCTATATCTTAAAAAAGTAGCCAGTCTAAGATTAACTATTTCTCGGCATATGTGTGGACGTCATTATTCTGATGAGAATAAAGTTCTTTAACCATGACTTACCTTGTTGATTAACCTGGTAGCATTGTAGTAACCGCTCCTTGTCAGTCTCTGTCCGTATGGAGTTCTTGAAGTAGAGCCTATTTCTATACGTAAGTCGAATCACTCGAGAGTTCTCGAACTTTCCGGAGCCCTTCTCTCTGAGCGCTGTCTCCCATTTTGATATTACGTCACAGAGCTGGAAAGATGGAAATTCAAATTGTTAGCTTAAGAATATGTGGCCGATTGTCCCAAAGGGTAACGTGTAAAATGTAACACCATATGTGGTGTTCCAGGTGTCCATGGGTGACGCCGATTGCTTACCATCAGGTGATCCGTTTGCTCGTTTACCGGCTTATTCCATAAAAAATATCAATCATAAAATTAAATGTTGTAGCCAAGAATCTAACACAGAACTTTAAGCTAAACTAATGACCCTTCAACATATACAAGGTCATTCTAATAAAACATGATATTACAAAAAATATAAGTTTATATTAACTATCGTGAGACATACTAAATAAACTAAGAATCGCGGGTTACTCACGTGTAAATACTGAAAAAGAGTAGGCTGCGCGACAACGCCGCGACCGCGCACGCTGCTCATAAGGAAGAACCCCTCTGTGGTTCGAAACTAGTAGAGCTTTTCTCAGTATTTTTACGTGAGTAACCCGCGATGGCAGTGGATGCAAGTGGCGAGTTGTCGTTCGACGTGGAGAGCTAAGGGGGAGGGCTTTGTCTTGCAGTGATGAACCCTATTATCACACACATACCTTCTTATCAGGCTTAATATGATGTTCCAAGTCCTTCTCAATAGGGTCGTCGCTGAACAGCGCGAACCCTGACGCCGCTGACTCCCTGCATCCAAGTTCTGTACTTAATGTAGACAGGAACTCTTCTACAGTCGTCGAACCGTCGAAGCTTATTACCTGCGAATAAATATATTTGTGTAAAGAAGGCTGAAGGATGAAATGACATGAAAAATAATACATTAATAAAATAATTTAGACTTTATGTCTCAGCGATATTATTATTATTTTTTTTTTATTTTATAACAAGACTAAACTGAAGATTACTAAAATTTAACGCTCCCTTATTGAAGAGAAGATATAGAAAAAGTATTTTCAAAATACTTACGGACGCAAAATAGTGTTATTTATCTTGGACGTATTAAATTGAACGAGAAAGCGCCAGATTACAAAATAATATCTCCTAATATAGAAAAAATTCCAATAACGAATTTTGAAACCCCAAATAAGGCACCAAAGACAATTGTTCAAAGTCAAAGCATTTATTTCAATTAATCCTTAATTAGGCACTTTTGAAACAACAAAAATGGAATTTTCCGTCAGTCAGTCTATCAGTGAAGCTAGGCATCCTTACTAATATTATAAATCGGAAAGTGAGTTTGTTTGTTTGTTCCGACTTCACGCCGTAACTACTAAACCGATTGCATTGAATTTTTGCAGACGTAAAGTTAGTAGTCTGGATTAAATAATAGGGTACTTTTTATCCTGAAAAAATTTGATATTTCCGAGGGAAAACAAAAGTATTGGTATAGATGGCGCTGTATGTACACATAGGCTACTTTTTATCCTTTTGTGACGCGACCGAAGCCGCAGGTAAAAGCTAGTGTTCCATAAATGGCAAATCTTATTAAAATAGAGAGATACGTACCTGGTAAGTATTATTGAGCATATGGACAGGAATGGCGTGAGGCAAGGAGTGGTGGTAGGGGTTCTTCAGTAATATGGACAGCACCTCCATGCGGGACGGCTTGTCTTCGCGTCCACCGTTACGGATGGTACGTTCCAACGCACGCGCACAGTACGCCGCGTATTTACCGCACTCCGTTCTATGAAAGAAAATTATTCCGTTTAGGGAAATTGGTTACGGATAAGAAAATATCTATTTGAATGTCATTGTAAATGTAAAATGGAATCATATACGAATCGTCCTACAATGTATATAGACTTATATTCATTGATTTTTCAAATAAATAGAAAGTTACAATTATGTATTATTAGACGCCTGTTTACGCATAAAAATGTAAAGTTTACAGGCGAACTTAGTAAAGTTAACCTTGGGATGATGCAGAGGTATGAGTTATTCTGATAAAAGAAAATAATTTGTTAAATAGTCTCAGCAAGTAAATAAATTAAGTTTGTTACCAAAATTTCGATAGTTTTATTAACCACTATTTCTAATGGAAAAAATAAATAAAAACCATAACATTACGTTTTTTATCCCCGACGGGGTAGGCAGAGGTACACATTATGCCACTGTACAATGTAACACCCACTTTTCACTATTTATTTTACTAGTCCCATATAATTGGGGGTGAGCCTATTGCCACAGTTCCAGACTCTGTGCTACTACTGAGATTTTTTTAAATCCATTAATACTTTGCCCGACCCGGGAATCGAACCCGAGACCCCTTGCCTGGCAGTCGCACTTGCGACCACTCGGCCAACGCGGCAGTCATGGATAAAATAGTTTAATAATAATTATAAAAAAGTAAATAAACACTTACTTTGAATCCGCATGCCTACTCAAATGTAGCTTTAGATACCAGAGTAGCCTGTTATTCCGTGGTACGAATAGACTGACGGCCAATGCAAGGAGTTGCCATCCTTGTACAAAGCTATACGTTGGAGGGTTGCTCTTGCAGTCCACTGACAACAACGGCGCCTGGAAACATTCCTTGGATGGTAGAAAACGATAAAAAATTGTTAAAATCATGTACATTTCGTACAATATTTAAGGGAGACGGGTAGATGCGACTTAAGTATATAGAACAAGTTTTAAACCTCGAGACAAGTTGTAAGTACTTGTATTACAAAATGTTTACAGTTATCGGACGGATCACCAGAGTACCAAGCACGAATAACTATCGCATTCGTATCGTAACAGTATCGAGCGCGTTAAGCGTTCTGATTGGTTGATTCACTTGAGCCGGCCAATCAGAGCGCCTAACGCGCTCGATACTATTACGTTACGAATGCTATAGTTATTCGTGCTCGGCACTCTGATGGTAAGCAATTTTCGCCGCCCATGGACATCCGAAACACAAACATGCATCAAGGCACATGATAGGGACAAATTAAAGGTGTTTCAAGTCACATCTATCCGTACAAGTTAGTTACGTTAAGGGGGCCAAACTATCACACTGTACGGACAGTTTCTCCGCTACGAAATTTTACTGTTTTTGTGAAAATTCGTAACTTTGTGGTGCATTTCAAAAGTTGAAACCTTCGCAATACTTGCAGATTGTTAATACGTTAATACGTTACAGTACAAATGCAATAAGAATTACTGTAAACTTTTGCAACGAAAGAAGGTCCGTACAGTGTTACATTTAATGGAATCATGTTAATAACAAATCACAAATAGACAATTCGAGTAATTGACTGAACTTCAACCTTTATACCAATAGACTTACGGTTTCTTTTAAATTGCTTTTCTCATATGATCCCCTAGCTAGAAAGACAAATACAGGACATACACGTCTACTGATTGTGAACATTATTATTGGCTTCAAGAAGGTTTCATTATATTTAAGTAATGTACCATTTATTAAATTCTACTTTAGTTCACACAATTTACTTTCAATGCGGAAATATCTACAATTAAATTCAAACTCATATTACTTATTGAATAGTAATGTAGTATTAAACTCGTCATAGGTCGAGGAAAGACAGACCAATAACTATAATTTCATATAGGAATTCATACTCAACTTTACTCAAAATGAGTACACTTTTAAACAACATAAAACTTATTGTTAAATAACCCCTACATCTATTTATTCAAAAAGAGTATGCTCTTAAACAGTTTAGTGTCCAAGAGGCATTTTATTATTATTAGTCTCTAAATACTTCTACATTAAGTACATTCTTAAATAACCCTACGTGTACCGCGTTCCTAGTCATCGTTTACCTGTATAGAGCTAGGTGAGCCGGCGGCATGCGTCGGGACGTCGCTCTTGCTGTCCGAGCCCACCGAGGCGGCGCCAGTGTCGCACGTGAACAGCGACTGAGTCGCGCACAGTAGCAGTTGCTGAACAAATGAAATGTTGGCGGTTGTTGGACCAAATACTTGGCGAGACTAACTGCTTGGAAGTGTGCACTTTATGTAGTACAGAATAAGTTTGCTTTTTGAAAGACTGTGTTTGGTTTTTGGGGGACTCTGTGTTTTGGGGAGTGATATAAGTACAGGTTGTTTCAGTGATGTGTGTATAAACAGTACATACATATTATGTGTAAGTTACATAAATACGAACATTTTAATGATTACATACAGATAATAAAGATATCCTTGTCCTATTCAATTGTACTATAATGTTACTTACAAAATACATGTAGGTACAACAATTGACTAATGAGTTTTCATTAATAAAGTTGAAAAACATAGAAAGCTAGTATTATTAACCCATAAACAATAAGTAAAGGCACTGCTGTGAATTGACACATAGGTACAAAGGCCTCATAAACGGTAAAAAATATATAATAATATATTTGTGCACGACTGCCTACCCACTTCAGAGAAGAAAATTATATATTACAAACGGTTGATTTCATCAACAATGATTGTCGAAATTTTTGGCAATTGTTATGCCAAAGGATTCTTTCTGCAATTTTAGTCCTTAAGAACATAAGAAGTTATCTTAAAGTTAGTGCGAGTGCTTTATGCCATTGCATTGTGCCTTTAAGTACCAATATCCCATGAAACTATTTTTCCCGCTATATGTATGTACAGTAGTTATAGTTTTGTGATTTAAATGTACAGTGTGTTACAAATAATTGCATAATATGCCTTGCAAATAAATATATTAATATTAATTTTTTTAAATCAGATTCAGAAAATGTTAATTTTTTAAATTACATTTTATTCGCGTTAGAATTTACAAGAATTTATTTTGTATACTTTTAATTTTGAATTCCAAATTAAATAGTTCGAAGCTTTAGATAGATAGATGATAAAAGAGTAAATTAGGTTCAATTTTGGTCACTTTAATCGACAAAATACTATTGTTTTGCACAAAAGTTTTACTCAAAACAGATCAACGCGGTCGGAAAAGTTAACAAATTGTCTGCAAGAATCAACAATAATTCAGGAGTACAAGAAATTAAGAAGAGGCATATTATGCAATTTCATTAAAAATACTTAATCCTACTTACTCCTAAATACTTACCAAAACTATATATGTGTACTATATTATATAAATATATAAAGGGCTATAAGGTAACAGTCTAAAACTTGCAACATCAACCTTTCAATACAAAGGAGATCGAACAGTGCGAAGGGTAACACTAGCTATGACAGAGTATGAATGACAGGTAAACGAAAAAAAAACATTCCCTAAATCTATGGGGCCAAGGGAGAACATTCTTGGAAGAAAAAAAAGAAAATCGGGGAAAAATTTACACCAACATTCCATTTGAAATTTTGCAACGTAACATTTTATTTTAGGTACTGGCAACATCTTTCCCTTTCAAAATTAGAATGCGCCGTTTGAAAATGTTGCCAGAACTATCAGATCAAGATGGAATAGAAACTTTTCGTTTTATTCCTTGTCAGTAATTTTGTCATTATATGCTTATTAGCATATTTAATACAGTATTCTAATGAAGCCAATATAATTGTATACACAATACAATTCCAAATTGATCAACCACGTGACGAAGCCTTCAGTACAGCGACACACAAAGCCCATACTATAATAATGGTTTGTTAGTGTATATTTACAGTTTTACGCAAATTAAATAATAGTTTTGAAGCTTTGTAGAAAATATATTGTGCTCTTTTCAATACAAGCATTAAAAAGACAATTTTGTCTTTGCTTGCAAATAGAAAAAAAAGGTGCCGAGTCAAGTCACATGTAAAAGACCCACAGATAGTAAAAACATGGTTCTTTTACAAAAAAAATTTAGCAGAGCACAATATTCTAGAATAATCTACATACAAGTATAGTATATTAAAGCGAGAAGTCCTATATTTTATAATTACTGTATAAGTATTGTATATGATGATAACATATGAGAAAAGCATCAAAGCGTTTGCCCGTAAGCTAAGCCGTTGCGAGTATAAAGCTGTATGTATAGTATACCTACCATTTTTTCGTATTGGAATTCATTTTGACATGTAGTTCAAAGATGGCGGCTTTCAAATGACAGATGAAGCTGTCTTATTTGACAGTTACAACCAGGACGAATGTATCAAGTAAAAAAATTTAAAAATGTGACAATTATCCAGAGTAATGAATATGGTATTAAATACCATAATCATATTTAATATTGAATTTTTTATATATTTTTTATATTGAAAACATTTAATTGTTCTTATTAAATTCTGTTTAAAAAACTATGATTATAATAATGGATATTTAAAGATTATATTCTTAATAGCCACGTAATAAAAAGGTAGAAATTAACATCAAAATCTTGTATTACAATCTAATTCGTTCTATATTAATTTTTTTAATCAAAGAAACAAATTACAACAATCAGAATTAATAAATGTCAAAATGAATGCCAATACTCTTTGTATTTAAAGACTAGTATTCAAGTAATATATTTTGTACCTAGCCTAGCCGTAACACCTAAAGCCATGCTTATATCAGTTATTTCAATAGGAGTAATAATTCCCATTATCATAATGAAAACTATTACAGCAAAACCAAAAATAAGAACTGTTTGGTGTACTCTTTTGTTTGTATAAAATTATAACAAAGAAAAATCATTTTTAATAAAGTTTTAATTATTTATATTACTTATATTAAATTACTAACAATAAGTTAAGATCATTGTTACTAACAGTTTTATGGACTGTTGGTCTAAAATAAATGATTAATAATGATTATGACGATTCATAATAAAATTATTTTAGAGTAGGTAAGTAAGAGCACACCAAAACATAGAAGAATTGAAAACAACAATTGAATTTTTATTTGAAAACAAGCAAAACTGACCCAATATTTTATATTGTGAAGAAGATTTTGAAATTGGAAACGTAAAGATGATATATAAGTAGGTACATTTTTTATTTCTTGTCGAAAATAATGTTTAAAATTCAATTGTTGTTAATGAAAAGGCAAAATTCAAACAGACTGGTATTAGAAGTATCTGTCATGAATTTACCATCACTTTATTGGTCTACAGTTTGAATTTGAACCTAAATGTCATTTATTTAAGTCACATTGCTTGTAACCCACGGAATCACAGCAAAATACAAGTACTTTTGGTACAATGTATTTGTTATTTAGTCAAGTCTTCTTTAGTACTAGTAGAGGATTGATTTAACGCTCACATGTAGCATTTCAAAGCATTTTGATACTAAACTTTAATAAGATTTAACTAAGAGACCTTGATGAATACTGATATAGTCTGAAAGTAGTCACATGGATCATGTATCATAAGTATCTTAGCCTTGAAGGCGAAAATTATAACTTCAAACAATAATTTGACCAAACAGTGTACTTACAATAATTTACTTTTGTCAAACAAAGGCTGTTTTAGGTAGCATTTTATTTTACCAAACTCATTTTAAATTGTTTTTCTTACTCAAAACAACGTATCTAATGTCCAATTACTTAAACGCCATTGAATTATGAAACGCGCTTAAGTATAGTTCTGTCACCAAAAATTCTTTGTAAAATGATATTTAAGTACAACATAAAGAGTAGCCTAACTATTCGGACGTAACCAAATCAAACTGTAGACCAAATGATTAGCAAAAACCGAGTATAAGTGAGCAACTTACATTCTTAAGCTTGGTGGGCTTAACGTGTATGCGGGCGCGGCGGGCGGGCGTTACCTGTACGCCGAGCTTGGTGTTGGTGTGGGCCGTGGTCTGGCGCGCCAGCACCGACGCCAGCTCGTCCTGCAGCTCGCCCACGTCCAGGCACTGCGCCAGCGCGTTCTGCGCCAGCACCACGTGGTAGTCGATGCCCGCCTGCTCCACCGCCACCGACATGAACAGCTGCACGCACTGCCGGCAATCACAACATCTTGGCATTTGGCAGATACTTCTTTATTTACTTTTTATTTTTGTGGTGTTAACACGGCTTTACAGCAATTACATTAACACACAAAAAGTAATTAAAGACAATCAAACAGTAAAAAAAACATAAATAAACATCACACTAAAAAAAAACGATTTAAAGTCAATTAAAAATGACATGACATTTCTCGGCGTTCATGTCAGGTCCTTTCCATTTCAAAAGCTTAAAGGTGACTTCTAATGCAGCGGTAAACAGTTTTGGAGATATGATGTCTTCTTGCCTTACCGTTTAAAACGAGTTAGTCAAAATCCTCTTAAAGTCTAGAATTTTGGGACGTCCCGTTTTATCCCCGTGGGGTCGGCACATTACGGCACTTAATGCCACTGTACAATGTAACACTCACTTTTCACGATTAATGTTATTAGTCCCATGTAAATGACGGTGAGCCTATTGCCATATACTGAGACCACAATTCCAGACTCCATGTTATTACTGAGATTTTTTTAAAAACCCAGTAATACTTTGCCCGACCCTGGAATCGAACCCGATACCCCTTGCCCGGTCGCGCTTGCGACCACTCGGCCAACGAGGCAGACACGATCTTGGGAATCACAATAAAGTCACTAATTACTATACATTTTGGGAGTGCAGTCGTTGAATGTCCTATAGTCAGAATTTTAATTAGATTCCAGATTTGACAATAGCTACTGTCATTTTGTGAAATAATGATACCACATATAATAGTGTAGTGATGCACACAAAAATCGATAAACAATCAGTGTGTGTGTTTTATAATAAATGTTACAGAAAGTGACAGGATGGCAATAGCGATGACGGCGACAATTTATAAAATAACTCATTACCATAATACATCTGTTTTTTTTTTGTCATGTTCCTTCATGATTACATTTTTTTATTTATTTCACACACAATTATAAAAGAAACGTCTCAGATCGTTAAGTAATCGTCAAAACTAAATTATCGGTTTTCTGAACATTATTTAATTTCCTGATATACTTAGTTCACGAGAGTAAAGTTATAATTATTATAAACGAGAAGAATCGATCCAGAAATATTGCATTTCCATATCGAATAATTTCGCAACGTCACTATTTAGTACTTGTCATAACGTTGCCACACTGAAATTGTCAAATCTGGCATCGAATTAAAATTCCGAGTATAGATACAATTATACAGTTTAAAACGATAATTTAACTCTAGCTAACTGCCTAATGGAAAGGATGACTATGCGATTTATTTGACACATATAGCTTTTGATAATATGAAATCAACATAATTTCTATTAAACATTCCTTACCTTGAATAGTTTTAATGCTTCTGCCTGCAACGCTTCAGAGTTGAGTGAAGTCAGTGGAGACGTCAAGTTCTCTTTAGAATACAGTAACGTTGGATGCCTCCATAGAACACAATCTGAAAAATAACAAATACATCTATGTTATACATTGTTATATTTAGCTCTACATTTCATAAACGACGGCTTAATCTTCATTAGTGGACATCAAATGAGATATGCTGCATAAAATACAATTACACAATTACTACCTAATCTTCCCAATCCCCAAGTCCCCAATAATCGTCAAATTATTAATCCCCAAATGGCCGGTAACGCACTTGTAACGCCTCTGATGTTTCATGTGTCCATGGGTGACGCCGATTGCTTACCATCAGGTGATACATCTGCCCTTTTACTGGCTTTTTCCATAAAAGAAAAATACTGAATCACCCGCCACGCCTGTAAAACTAGAAGGATAAACAGAGATGCACAAAATCCAAGATTCAATTTAATCTTTCTTAATCTCATAAACAAAATTTTACTTTCAACTTGAACAATACTTACTAGGATCCCCATCGGTCTCCATAAGCTTCTGTATAAGTTGTTCGAAGTGTGTTCCCTGACTCAGTCCTCCACCGCTGACCACCGTCAGATGGTACAACCACGAGTCCTTATCCGCTTTACTCTCGAACAGAAGGTATGTTGGACCCTGGGAGAGGAGAAACAGATCACTAGTATTTATGTTGCTGTAGGAATGTGGATTTTTGTGAACTGGGCTGATACAATCGCAATTAAATCGCATCGACCATTGTTTTTGTCTCTGCATCACCCAAAGGTCTGGCTGGAGGAGAATGCCCTAGGCATTAAGCCCACCTTGTACATTAGTATGTGCATGAAGTCTAAAAAATAAAATAAAATAAATTAAAGAGAGGAGTTTCAAGGTATTTCTTATTGTAGTATAGAAAATTTGATGCAATAAAGTTATTATTGAGTTGTATTTTACTAAATTAAACTTGTATTATTAAATTATTAAGCACACACACAGAGTCTTGTCACACTCACACAAGTATAGTTTAGAAACCAAGAGCCGATTTTAAAGTCTTAACAATTAATAATAGGTAATTAAGAAATCAACACACCCACGACGACTTATGACAGCGATTCAGTAATACAATAAAAGATAGTAAAACCTAGCTTTTATAAAAAAAAACTTTCATTACATCGCTGCCAAAACCGCCGTAAGCGCCATCTACATCTAAGACCAATCACTACACCAATATATTACATGAATTTGTCACTGACCCCAGTTACCTGGTGTTGCGGATAGATGGCGACGGTGAGATGGTTGCGAGTGTCGTCGTTTTTCTCTTCAGAGTCGGAGTCTGATACGTGTTCCACGTCTTCCACTCGCGCGTCTCTCATGTTGATCTGGCCGGTTGGGTTCTGTACAGCAAATTGGTCATTTTAAGGCAATTCTATTTGGTGACAAATATCAATTTATTGTCAACGATATTTTTTTTATGGACTTGCTTTGGACAAATTGCAGGAACTTGATTTGCAGATATATTACAAATTGCAGTGATGCGCTACAATTATTTTGCAAAAACCAAACTGATTTGATCGAAACTGTTGCGGACACGTCGGTTGAATAAATTCTTTGTTCAATGTGCCGTCCAAACCGTTCTATTAGATTATTATACTTCAAAGAATTAGATAATTAAATAATTATTGAGATTTTTTTATTTAGTGGAAATATTAACAATGTATCCAAGAACATCGTGCCTTCTGGTGGAGTAAGCAGAGTGAACTGATAGAACCAAAAAAAACTGAATACCTATAACAATAAACAGCGGTTTAATCTTATCCGATACACAGATTTTTCAAAGGGCCAAATTAAAAAAAAAATTAAAGTACACTTAACCGACGAGCATGCATGAAAAGACTGATGACTATTGATGCATCTTAAGAATGGTAGCAATTGGCGTTCCCTAGTCTCTGCGTACCCACATGGGCGACAGGCGTGAAATTCTGTATGTATGTACAAACTGTCTACTAAAATCTACCACGTACCTGGTCTCCAGGCGACTTGAAGTACAGGAACATCTTCCCAATAAGCACACACCAGCTCTTCTTGGCGTGTCCATTCTTGACCTTCGTGAGCCACCCCTGGATCGTAGGCTTATTGTCTTCTTTACTCAAGAGGAGCTTCGTCGCATTCCTTCTTTGGACATTCTAGAATAATACGAGGTGGTTACTTCCAGTCAAAGCTTTACAGGTCTAATAGGGATGATGACAGGGTATGAAAATTAAAAATGTAATTAGTCCGTCAGTTAGGTAATGAAAAAATATTAGACACATATTTTTTTATTTTGTTGTATAATAAAATGATACTTAGATATAACGAATCAAAGTTTAGGAGTGGGGGCTAAAACGTCATTTCTACGTATAAAATGTAGATAGAAGTGACGTCACGCGACATTCACTGTCAAAGTTTTTTTTTAAATTAGGGTAAAGTAATAATCATCACCAACAGCCCATAATTGGCCACTGCTAACCAAAGGCCCCTTATCGCACGGAGAATGTTTGAGAATTAATCACCACGCTTGCTCAATGCGGGTTAGCGATTTCAAGCTTATAATTATAAATTATAAGCCCAGGTTTCCTAACGATGTGTTCCTTCACATAATGTTAGAAAGTACATATAACTCGAAAAAAGTCACATTGGTACTTGCCGTTGGTAGGTTTCGGACCCGCATTTTCATGCATGAGAAGCGGGCGTCTTAAACCTCTGGGCCTCCACGGCATTTTTTTAAAGTAATAATAATACAGAATATGTATGTGTGTACATTACAATTAGATTAAAGTTGTTTATAGGGCCTAAGCGCAGTTATTTTTTAACTCGTCGAGTACCGGTTTTATAGACACAATTAAAGAACAATAGGTCGCGGTCACCGGTGACCGCTTGGTATTTGACAGTTTAAGGGGGGAAAATCTTCGGCCCCGTACTACTCGTACCTACCAAATGACCGGGACCCTGTGGTCCCGTGAATGGTAAAGACATACAGAATATTACGATCTACATTCGCATGTAACCATAAACTAAATTGTACACCTCGTGGCTTGTGTATAGAGAAAGTATAATTCGAATAGTCAGCTTAAAACACTGAAGATATTTAAAAATGAAGTTAATATTACTACACTTTAATTAATAATATGTTTCGTGTAGGATGTCTACACTTTAATTAATAATATGTTTCGACCTTCAACGTGCCATCTATATAAGGGAATCATCAGTTAGAGTAACAGGTTAAATTGATCAAACTCCATATAATTTCAATGTTGGTCAATAAATCAAACAGCAATTTAGTGTCACTTAATCGTAATCGAATTTCAATAATGATTGTGGACATGAAGCAAATAATGATTTTAGAAAAAAAATCAGTTCAATATTTCAAGTTTTCATGTCGTTTTCAAATTTTTTTATGGCATAAGCCGGTAAACAAGACGAATCACCTGATGGAAAGCAATTGGCGTCGCCCATGGACACCTGGAACACCAGAGGTGTTACAAGTGCGTTACCGGCCATTTGGAGATTAGGAGTTTGAAGATCGTTGGGGATTCAGAGATTGTAGAGATTGGGGAAGGGGAGGGTAATTGGGCCTCCGGTAACCTCACTCACACGACGAAACACAACGCAAGCGTTGCTTCACGTCGGTTTTCTGTGAGGCCGTGGTATCACTTCGGTCGAGCCGGCCCATTCGTACCGAAGCATGGCTCTCCCACACTTATAAGTTGCATCGGTAAAAGTCATTAGTTATTTTCATTTCACAGTTTACCGTTTAGAATAAGACGGTAAAGAATAACTTTATATGACATCATTCTAAGACATGTTGCAGACAACGTATACGGTTTTGACTGACATTAGAAAACTGTTGAAGGCAAATCTTCCGCTAACGTCTGTCACCGGTGACCCCATGGCTTTTAATGTGTTAAAATTATAATTTAGGAAATAGATAAAAGTAAAAATAATAATGAAAAATATTTTAAATTTAAATAAAATTGGCTGCACAATAACATGCTGTGTTGTGGGGTTTTATTTTTCCACACCGTAGTCGGTAATCAAAACTTAATGGCCACAATAATAATTTTATGCGAATTAATGGCTGAACCTTATAATTACAAATTATAAGCCCAGGTTTTCTCACAATGTTTTCCTTCACCATTTGTCACTGGTATCTAAAAAATTTTAGAAAGTACTAAGTATAACTCGGGAAAAGGCACATTAGTACTTTACCCGCTTAGGTACCCGCACTTTTATGCAAATAATGAACAAAGAGGCAGGCGGATCACCCAATGTTAAACGATCAACGCCAACAATTGACAGCGTAACACAAAAAAGTAACAAATACGCAGTCACCTATTTAATCTTCTTATTTTTTCCAAGTCTTAAATAAATTATTAATATTAATTTGCATACCTGTAATACTCTGATCCAGTCCTCCATAGTAGCGATGCTGTCAGCCGTCAAGTAATATGTTCTACTGCCGGTGAAGATCTCAAATGTAGCCGCTCCCTCATTCCTGGATATCTTGCAGGCTTCACCGAGACCGATTTGACCTTGAGGCTTTCTATTCACCTCTGATTGCGACTTCCAGTAAGAAAGAGTTCCATTTTTAAGTACGAACCTGTTTTGTGAAAAAAAAAATCACTTAAGTATGAAGTCGGAGTTAAATAGGTGTTCACTTTATACAGATATTTTAATTTTTAATGTATGTATATATAACTAGCGACCCGGCTTCGCACGGGTGCTTAATGCATGTATACACTTATAAATCTTCCTTAAGAATCACTCTATCTATTAAAAAAAACCGCATCAAAATCCGTTGCGTCGTTTTAAAGATCTAAGCATACATAGGGACTGACAGACGGCGGATAGCGACTTTGTTTTATTCTATGTAGTGATATATGTATAAGCTTACCAATAAATTAATAGGCCTATATTATAATAGGATTATAATAACTATAAAAAAATTATCTATATAAACAAGTTTTACACAAAATTATTCATTAAAACCTTAATAGATACCTAACATTATTAATCTGTTTACAATTTTATTATGGACTAGCTTTTACCCGCGGCTTCACACGCATCACAATCACGCAATTTCGATTTCCCTCGAGAATACCAAATTTTTCCGGGATAAAAAGTACCCTATTATTTAATCCAGACTTCTAACTTTACGTCTGCAAAAATTCAAGGCAATCGGTTCAGTAGGTAAGGCGTTAAAGCGGAACAAATAAACAAACAAACTCATTTTCCGATTTATAATAGTAAGGATATAGTAAGGATTATATCGAGGGGTAACGGGCTATTTGGTTTAAGCGACATTTTTGCAACTTTACAGGAGAGCGTTTTAAAGTTTGAAATTTCGAAAAAAAATTCGTAACAAAAACGCTTCTGCAGTTATTTGAACGGGGTAAATTGCATTGAAATTTAAATTAAATTATCTAGTTGCTGATGCTAATTCTAAATAAAGTGGACCTTTAATTACAAAGATAAATGTCGCTTAATACAATCTGCCCTTTTTTAGAGTCAGGAAAAATGATTTAAGTTACTTCATAACTACAATTGGCTACAAGGGAAAAAAATTAAGCGACAATGCACTCTATTTACAGAGTAAGCTAAAAAATATGAAGTGACGAAACCCAAAATTAATAGAAGCAAGCTATTTATCTTAACTACCAATTCAGACTAAAATGAGTGACAGGCTAATTTACTTATGTGACATATAACATTGAAATTATAACGTTTAATGTTTATGTTTATTTACATCTAAGGCGATTAATGGCTGATAAAACAACCTGGATATATCGCAATCACCGAAAATCTCAGATGCTTACATTGAATAAATAAACACAACACAATATCAAAGTATTTATTTAGAGTAATAATTACAGTTTCAATAGGAATATCGATTATATTTCAGCAAAATCAATTAAATTAATGGGTCATTTACTGAAATTGCCGTTTTGTATGAAAAAATTAAACGATTTTTTCATGTATTTTTTATTTGTATAATCAACGTAATCACCCATGCAATCAATGCATCGTTGCCAACGCAGTGGCAGTTTATTGATGCCCTTCTTCAATCAGCTGGACGGGTAGCAACAAATTCTTCAAATGCATTTTGTACTGCCTCTCGGTTATTAAATTTTTTCCCGCCAAGAAGTTATCACAAATTCTGGAAAAAGAAGTAGTCTGGTGACTGGTGAGTAGGGTGGATGTCGGAGAGCTTCACAACCCCAGTTCTTGTAACGTGGAGGCCGTCTCTTGTGCAGCTTTAGGTCGCGCGTTGTAATGCAGGAGCAATGGAGATTAGCGATTGACCATGCTGGTTGGAGATGTGTCAGCTTCTCCATCATTGTGTTCAGTTCTTCACACTACACATCCGTAGTAATGCTCACTCCGTTTGGTAAGAATTTGTGATGAATCAGAATAGCGCGAGCGCTAGACCATCAGTGACCATCACTTTTCTAGGGGTAAGTTTTCGTTTAGGGCATTGTTTAGGTGCTGAACTAGGATTCAACCAACATGCTAAACGCGTGTGGTTATCACACAGATTTCATTTTTCATCGGAGGTGACAATGCAAATCAAAATTCTTTCATTTGTGTGTATATTGAGCAGTGCAGTGCAAGGCACTACTCGATGCATTTTTTTTAAGGGTGGAAAATCATCGAATGACTGCTCCCGCCTGGGTGAGGCGGGAAAGAGTGTCAGACTCTTACTGACTAAAAATCACCCCGTTTCTTCTCCTGCACGTCGAGCCGGAGCCCCGGTTACCCGTTAGGTTCTGCGACTCCGAATCGGCATCGACCCTGTTGGGCCCCATCTGTGGTGGTCTGATGGCTCTTTGAGGCGCGCGCGGAACGCGACGCCCCGTACGCTCGGGTCTGTTTCTGGTCGGACGGGGAGCCACCCATGCTCACCGTCCGCAGGCCCGCGCTTACGGTAACTGGAGATCGTCCCGCGATCCCCGACGCCAGGTGTGTCCTTCGCGATGGCTGGGTTGCGAGGAGCCAGCGCTTCGCTGCCTCACGCGTCCCGCCTCCTCCTTAGCTAGCATAACTGCTTCGCAAAAGGAGGAGACGGCATCCCAGTCCCCCTCGCACTGCTCGATGCATACTTAGCTCTGTTGATCATTTAGTTTGTGGGACACCCACTTATCAAGCTTTTTTACCTTGCCAATTTGACGCAAATGTACCAATATTGTTTTGACGCTAACGTCGAAAGCTGTTGCTAAATCAGCCGTAGATTGTATGTCATCAACCTCCACAATAGCCCTTAAATTGTCATTGTTGCCAAAGTTCATCTTGAAATTAAAGTACTTAGGATTCAATTTCGATGAGCGTTTTACGTAAACACTGGCGGTGTGCGCGCGTCCCGTTTGTCTTCGGCGCACTCTGGAGTGACTAAAGCGCCAGCGCACGATAGTCCAGTTGGATGATAACGATTTTTAACACCAGGGCGATGAAATAAATATGGTATCATATGACATGATTGAAATGTACCATATTAAAACTTAGTGATTGAAAGACCGACTCGTATTTCTATGAATACTGGAAAAATGTTTCAATATTCATTATCAATGTTATCGTCTGTATAAAACGACATGCATTTAAAAAAAAAAGAGGGTTATATGGTTTATGACTAAACAAAATATCTAAACGAAAACAACTATTTGGTTTAAGTAGCACCCTGCGTGGAAAATAGAGGCAGCTAGAAATGTTTAAGAGACGTACCATGACGCATTTGGATGACGGACAAATGTTTTAAGCGACATCACACCGTGTGATTAGTGGGAAGTCAAAATGATTCAAGTTACTTGTTAATAAAAATTAGAAACAAGAAAAACGCTTTAACTCATGTTGACTTAATAATTAGAGATAGGGTGACTGGTTTATGTCTCGGTTATTAATATGATGGTATGGTTCAACTACATAATTTAATAAAAAATGCGAAATCCATGTCGTTTAATACACTGCCACTTTGGAAACAACATGAAAATAGAATTGTTTCAAACGCCAAAAAAGTGCTCCGATTTTAATGAAACCGGCATCATTCGACGGAGAAAAATTCGCTGATTCCGAATATATATATAACTCAATATCGCCCAAAATGTCGCTTAAACCAAATAGCCCGTTACCCCTCGATATATACTTGTGACCATTACCTAAGACACATTTTGTAGCACAAACACAATGTAGCTACACTGTTAAACGGTGAGGAGTGCCCTCGACTGCCTCCGGCTCCATTATCAGATCGACTCCAGATCTTTATCAGATTGTAGTGGTTTTAAATCATAATTTTTATAATTTTTAAAAGTTCCCCTCGGTTGCTCTGGGATTCCATCATCAGATATAGACTTCATGACAATGGGACCAAATGAAAAACATAAAAAAATAATTTTTGAAATCGGTCCAGACGTTTCCGTGTAATCTAGTAACAAACATAAAAAAATACAGTCGTACAATCGAATTGAGAACCTCCTCCTTTATTTGAAGTCGGTTGATGAATTGCTGTTTGTTAGTCTCGCTAAAACTCGAAAACGGCTGGATCGATTTGGCTAATTTTGTTTTTGATTTTTTTGCTTAATTCCAAGGAAGGTTTATAAGGTGAGAAAATGATATTGGAGGCGGTACGAAGTTTGGCGGAACAGCTAGTAAGTGACAAAATTTAAAAATGGGCGACAATTGGAAAAGAAAACATGTTAAGTGAGCATAGATCCGTTGGGGCGTTATGATTCTCAAGCATGAAGATATTTAATAAACACTTTATACGTACCCCTTTTGGATCGGTGGGTTCAAGGTAAAGACCTACTCTCAATATTTTCAAAGGCCAATAATTGACATTCAATTAATCACCACTCACCATCGTTTTCTCCAAGTCTTGAGTTTGCCCCCTAACTTGGCAAGATGTCCGCTCTTCTCCAAGGCATCATGTCGTCGCGGCGAGTCGGTGGTAGGCGGCGCTCGACATAGGGACGCCAACGACGGTGACGCTGTACTGTCACACGACACCGCGTCTGGTGGTATCGCGTAGTCATCCGACATTCCTGACTCGAATGATGTGTCTGGAATAGGAAGAATATTCTAGAATCTTGTTAGATTGCTGAGCGTTTTGAAAAAACTGCATCAAATCCGATTTAGCTGTGATGCAAAAATACTTATTGACGTCAAATCTTAGCCATTAACATAAAATGTTCACCATTCATTAGAGTTATGAAATATAACATTAGTTTTTACCCCTGAAAGGATATGCAGAGGTGCACATTATACCTGTGCACCAGGTGCACCATTTATAGAATAAGTTTCAGTTTAAGTTACGTATGTAAAATAAATATGAAAAATCTTTTCATAAAGGACACAAAAAATAGAAAATAAGTACCGTACCTAAGTTGTTAATGTTAATCTTTAGTCACTGTTTAACAAGATATATTTTTCGTTTATATTTTGACCACTTATCTTCATAAGCAACAAAATCAATGAAGACATACAAACTCACGTCACTTCGACACGACCATTAGTTACTTACGGCCTAAGTTTATCCGTATAAGACATCACAAGGATGTTTTTATATCAATGACAATGGAATATAATAATCGCACGATATGTATTGTTATCATGTCATCACAGGTTTATAATGTAGGTGACGATTCCGTTTCAAATTATAAACGATGTTTTTACAAAGTTAAAACACGTCATCTTTGCTTTTTTTTAAGGTGGGAAAATAATCGAATGTCTTCTCCCGCCTGGGTGAGGCGGGAGGGAGTGTCAGACTCTTACTAAAAACTACCCCGTTCGTACTCCTGCACTTCGAGCCAGAGCCCTGGTAACCCGTTAAGTTCTTCGCGACTTCTTAAGAAGCATATTTTAAAATAAGGCGGGAGGATTAACTAAAACGAGTTTCCACCCTCACAAAATAAATGGTTCGAAATTGGAAAATACCAATGTGACCATTTTTGTCATTGGATTTTTGACTTTATACTCAAACGATAGAATTGAAAAAACAAAGAAATTTTACAGAAAAACGTAGGTTATTTCCAAGTTATAGGGATGTAGGTACTTCTATGTTTAATTAGTTATACGGAAAAAAAACATCGTGAGGAAATCTAGACTCAGAATTTTTTATTCCGACCGATGCTCATTTCTTCTCTAATAAGGCTATTACTGAGTATTGTGACGCTTACAGGCTGATGTTAATGATGATTTATACATAATACTTAATGAAGATTGGTCTTTACAAAGGAGATTCTTTAAGAATAGGTAGGTATACATACATATACTTAGGTAGGTTTTTTTTGATGGGACATAATCATCCAACGGCTTTTCCAGCCCGAGTAAGGCGGAAGGAAGTATCAGACTGTTACTAAAAACCACCCCGTTTCTACTACCGCTCTTCAAGCCGGAGTTCCGGCAATCCGTAACTCCTCCGCGGTTCCGTATCGGATATCAGTCATACTGAGCCCCATATGTGGTGGTCTGATGGCTCTTTGAGGCGTATCTCGGCTCACATATACGTAGGTGCATAATACCACCAAAGATATGTCCAGAATGGTTACAAAATTAGCACCTACGCAGAATATAAGAAGCTTACGAACATAAAACAAATAATAAGCAGATTAGCGAATCTTCGTCTGCTGTTTTTGTGATAATTACTCAACGATTTATAAAACAAAAGAGGTACTGGTAAGTGCCAATAAGAATAATAAACGTAGGTAAAAACATTAGCGTTCATGTCTGTCTTTCTTGCAGAAGTTTTTAGTACATATTTATTAAACTATAGACCTAATTGAAAAGCCCTATTAAATATCTAAACGTCTGAAAAGTTCAAGGTGAGAATACTTAAGTCACCTTCGAATATCCTTTAAATAAAATATTCGATCTAAAGCACTAACATCGGACAGGTGTCGAAAGTTAGGTAGGTAAAGTAATTTTGGACACAAAATAGACTACTTTCATTAATTAAATACTAAGTATATACTACGATGTGACGCGTCACATGTGCATATCAATAATTTACGTAATTACAGAGTCCAAAGGCCACATTTAAGTATATTTGTAATTGAAAATCATATAAAAAGGGGACGGAAAAAATTTTTTGCTTCAGTCTAAGGAAAGACTTCAGTACGCATACATCAACCAATCAAAATGAGTTTCGCAAACAAAGTGGTGTTGGTAACTGGGGGAAGTTCTGGGATAGGGGCGGCTACTGCCATCCTTTTCTCTCAAGAAGGTGCTAATGTGGTTATTGTGGGAAGAAACGAGACAAAACTAGCTGATGTAGCTAAAAAGTGCTCAAACCCTTTGGTAATCAAAGCAGACGTAACAATCATGGAAGACGCTAAGAAAATAATCGACGAGACGATCCAAGCGTATGGGAAGATCGATGTGCTAGTAAACAATGCAGGAATAGTGAGATACGGAAGTATACTGGACGAGAACATTCTAGAAACCTTTGACGAGTTGATGGAGACAAACGTAAGAGCATTATTCCACGTAACTTATTAGCTGTCCCACACATCATAGAAACGAAAGGAAATATAGTGAACATATCAAGTATTGCCGGCAAAATGTACCCAGATTCCAGTCTAATGGCTTATGGAGTATCTAAGGCAGCAGTGGACCATCTAACTAGAGGGCTCGGTCTACAACTAGCGAAGTATGGAGTGAGAGTGAACAATATAAGTCCAGGGCCAACTGTATCTGATATTTTGATTAATGCTGGCAATGATATGCCTTGGGAAGCTCTTGCACCGACTATGCCGTTAGGTAAAATCTGTGACGCTGAAGAAATAGCCGATATGATAATGTATTTGGCCAGTGATAAAGCTAAGAGCATTACCGGCGTTGATTATGTGATTGACAATGGCAAGATGCTGACTAAGTAGATTTTAGATTGATGTAAAAGGCGAGATTATTGTTTGTATGTAAGTTGATCGCTTTGGTGTGGAAATTCAATTAATTGTTGTTAATGCAATTGTGTAATGTTAAGCTTCTTGTGAAATTATAGTTTGAAATTAAATTGTTGCCTTTTTAGACGTAGGCAATACACTTTATGTTAATTAATAAATGTGTCACATATGGAGTTGGTTTTTTATTAAAATTACCCTTAGCTGTTTATTACGATCAACACTTAATATCATCACGATCGGTCATTTTTTAGGCTATAGCCTTTACTTCTTCCTTTTTTTCCATTTATGTAATGAACCGCATGTATGTATGAACAGATGAGTTTTTTATCTTATACCATAACACACACACACACACACACACAATTTCAGACTTAATAGCGAAGTCTATGCTATTAGGTCTGAAATTCATTGTATATTTGTAAGTTGTATAATTGTGCAAGTTATAATTAAGAATTTTAAAAGACCACTTTTTATGGAATAGGAGGCAAACGAGCAGACGCATCACCTGATGGTAAACGATTAGCGCTGCTCATAGATAACTGCAACACCAGAGGAGTTTTAGAGAAGTTCTATTACTCGGACATCGCACTCACAAACACTGTTTTTGTTAGTTCAACCTAACAAACCCCAATTTAACACATTGGATGCCGTGTCGGACGTCCGACGCAAGCGGAGGATTTTTTTTTAACTTTGCCCCACACTAGGATTATCTCCTGTGTCGTGGGTGCGTTTACCAACATACAAGTTCACATGCACATGACACCCAGACCCGAAACAACAATTTGTGGATCACACAAAGTGTTGTTCCGTGCGGGAATCGAACCCGCGACACGTTGCACGGCAGCCGGTTGCCCAGCCACCGTACCAACCGTGCAATCAATTGGATTGGCCTTTAACAGTTTTTGTTGGCAGTTAAAGGCTTAAAAATAAACTGAATGTACAACAAAAATCAACATACCTCTTGTCTTACTCTGCTTGCTAGGCGACCCAGAACTGGATCGTTTAGCAGGACTAAGACTAGAGCTGGTCTTCACACTCTTGGACGGGCTGCTGGCACTGAGGCTGGTGTCTGACGAACTGCACTGACCGTTACTGGCCAGTACCAGCGCACCAGTAGCTTGTTGTAGAGCTGCTGGTAATGTACTGGTGAGGTTCACGTTGTTTATAGGCATTTGGGTTGAAGTTTGGCCGCCTGTGGAGAAAAAAACAAAGTTGGGAGTTAGTTTTTTTTTCTTCTTTGGCAATCGAGTCTCCAAAACGTGTTATCGACTATACTTAGTCGACAACACATTTTGGAGACTCGTCACTCGACACTGGCAGTAGCAGTGTCGAGTGGTGACGGAAAATTTTTTAGTATTAGTTAATTAGATTGCTTATGAGCTGACGTCCTCTATTGACGAGTTGGTATCCAAACACAAACCGTTATTATTAAATGTATAAAAACGGTTTCAATATTTGTACATTTTTGGCGGATTTAACAATCAATATGGCGTCATACGCAAAATCAGTGTAAACATTATACGTACAGTTTTTTAAGTAGAATTCAGTAATTGGTGTCAAACAGCGTAATAACATTAATATTCGACGATAAAAAAATACCTAAATATTGATTTTTGGTCAAATGGAAAGCAAATCTCTAAATAATAACATACAATCTTTATTTCGTGGTGGCCCAGAGGTTTAAGACGCCCGCTTTTCACAAAACCCACCAACGGCGAGTACCAATGTGAATTTTTCCGAGTTATATGTACTTTCTAAGATTATTTAGACACCACTGACAAACGGTGAAGGAAAACATCGTGAGGAAACCTGGACTTATAATTTCTAATTATAAGTTTGAAATCGCCAACCCGCATTGAGCAAGCGTGGTGATTAATGCTCAGACCTTCTCCGTGTGAGTGAGCACTTATAAGCTGTTGATGATGGTGATGATGATGATGAATCTTTATTTTTTTAATTAGAATTGAACAACTTACTGAACATGGGATTGACATTGACGAGCTGATGATGTGGAGTGTTATGTACGGTGACGCCCATGGACTCCTCGCCGTCCGACGAGTCGTCCGAGGAGTCGCCCGTGAATGGCATCGACCTTATCTGACTGGCACGCTGTAAAAATGTAATAAAGATTAGTAAAAAGCCAAAAATATAGATATTCAAGAAAAACACATACTATTTAGTCAATAGCATATTTTAAACTGCCTCATTGGCCGAGTGGTCGCAAGTGCGACTGCCGGGCAAGGGGTCTCGGGTTCGATTCCCGGGTCGGGCAAAGTATTACTGGGTTTGTAACAACCTCAGTAGTAGCACGGAGTCTGGAAATGTGCCCAGTATATGGCAATAGGCTCACCCCCTATTACATGGGACTCATAACATAAATAGTGAAAAGTGGGTGTTACATTGTACAGTGGCATTAAGTGCCGTAATGTGCACCTCTGCCTACCCATTTGGGGATAAAAGGCGTGATGTTATGTTATGTTGATATTATAAAATTTATTCAAACGTTATAGGAGACCTAGGAGAGTTGTAACAGCGATAAGTTGTCACAAGGACGATTTCTAAAGACAAGGTTTTTTTTAAGGAATTGTCGAATTACATCTCCTTTCTCACGCCTGGGTGAGGTGGGAGGGAGTGTCAGACTTTTACTGATTATAAACCACCCCGTTCCTACTCCTGCACTTCGAGTCGGAACCCCGGTGACGTCTTATGTCCTTCGCGGCAAGGATAGGGATAAGTAGAGAGGGTGCTGTAATAAAGGCGTTGAAAGAAATTGTCTTTGTTACAACGCAACCTACATCTCCTCTTAATACGGAAAGAAATATATTAAATATATAATATGTATATTATGGGACGACGTGCTCCATTGTAGATCGCATCATCGCCTACCACCAGGCGAGATAATGGTCAAACGTCGGCCCATAACTATACAAATAAAATATTTATATAAAAAAGAAAACATTCATATAACATTATTTATTTAGGAGTTTTTTTTTGTTGTTTAAAAAGACATTAGTTTTAGTATGGGGTACTAGGATTTTCTCCTGTGTCGTGGGTGCGTTTACAAACATACAAGTTCATATATAGATCACATCCAAACCAGGAACAAGCTGTAGATTACACAAAGTATTGTTCCGTGCGGGAATTGAACCAGCGACAAGTTGATCTAGTTGCCGTGCAGTCAGTCAGTCAGTTGTGTATGTAATTAGCATATTTTTATATTAAAAACTTGGTCTGTCTTGCCATAATAATAATATTTAATTTGTTTACTTTTTCCGTACACAGAACACTTGGATTAAGCAAAACCTACCCCTTTAACAGTAGCGTAGACGGGGACGGATATATCCTGGTAGCTGGTAGACTCGTGCATGGGACGCGGACACGGAGGGGGGGACAGCTCTTCCTCCACCGATTGCTGGAGACCGTCGTCTGCCACCTGATGGAGAAACATATAAGTATTAGTTTAGCAGTATATATTATACTTGTACTTGTATTATTTTTGTATCTAAATGCGTGCCTACTGTCGAATAAATGCTTTTTCTTTCTTTCTTTTTTATTTTAACAGCAAAGGCTATTTTTTAAGGGAGGAAAATCATTGAATGGCTGCTCCCGCCTGGGTAAGGCGGGAGGGAGTGTCAGACTCTTACTGACTAAAAACCACCCTGTTCCTTCTCCTAGTCCGTCCGTCTCCGTCGAGCCGGAGCCCTGGTAACCCGTTAAGTTCTCCGCGGCAATATCTTTAAGATAATGATCACATTTACTCAGTCATGGTTAAATTATTTTTCATTTTCATGATTTATACGTTGCTTGACCCGCTTATGTAGGCGCACGTAACTGATTTCTCTTATCTTTATAGTCAAAGTCAGTTTTTATTTTAATTAAACCATAATTTGGTATTTTTCTAACATCAACAAATATAAAATAAATAATAGTCTGTCAGTCAGTCCGTCAGTGAAGCTAGGTGCTCATTCCAAAATGTAGATTCGAATGGAGAAGAACGAGCAAAAAACGCCACATCCTCTTTTTATAATCCTTACACTACAATTTTCTCCTATGTCCCGGGTGCGTTTACAAACATCTATATAACATCCTAATCCGGAAAAATCCAGTCTTTGTGAATCTCGTGCAGTGATTAAGTAATCTATACTAATATAATAAAGCTGAAGAGTTTGTTATTTTGAGCGCGCTAATCTCCGAAACTACTGGTCCAATTTGAAAAATTCTTTCTTTATTGGATAGCCCATTTATCAAAGAAGGCTATAGGCTATACAAAAATATCACGCTACGATTAATAGGCGCCGAGCAGAGCGAGTGAAACCGCGCGGAAGTAGCTAGTCGTAAACAAAATATAAAACATTACCTGATAAATCTTAGCCTCCCAGCTAGGGAACCGATGTAGCGGTGGAGTGGGCGGCCTCGGTTGCTCCGAGGTGGAACTGTCCCCGGTGGAGGACCCGCCGCGACTGTTGCCCTGTACTATCACGTTCACGTTGCCTTGCCACGCCGGGGTGCGCTCTGGAACGAATAATTTGTTTTATGAAGATGTTTTTTAAGAGTTTTGTTGCTTAAGATAGGTAATATCAGGCCTTGCATTCACCAGAGGTTAATTCTATAATTCTTTATTTTTTTACATGTACCTTGATGTAAAAAAGAAAGAATTATCTTTATTTCACACGCTAAAAACAAGTGACATGCACAGATGTGTTATTTTATTCGTAGGTACTTATGGATACAGGTTCATGTCTCAAGTCTGCCGCGAAATGGGACCAGTTCAACATGTACAAGACAGGGCCTTGCGCTGGTAGTCTACTGGCCCCTTAAGTGATTCGCGGACGAAGAAGCCACATTGACATGAGCATTTTAAATTAATTAAATAAAGATAATAATGTAACAAAATAAACGAAGAGATAAAAATGCAGAACTGGGTAGTTACATAGATTAAATTATGATGATGATTCAATCCTTACTATCCTTAATAATAATATAAATAGGAAAGTGAGTTTGTTTGTTTATTTATTCCGCTTTCACGTCGTAACTACTAAGACGTAAAGTTAGAAGTCTGTATTAAATAATTTTGTCCCGGAAAAAAATGATATTTCTGAGGGAAAACAAAAATATTGGTATAGATGGCGCTGTGTGTATTGGTATACATGGCGTTTGCCGTGCCATGTAATAAGGTTACGGGTAGTCGTGTGAAGGATGCAAGAAAAAGTTTGCCTTACGCTATGCGTTGGTGGTCTAAAGTTTATGACCATTGATAATCACTAAGACAAAAACCCTCTAGACGAAGAAGTTTTGTTAGGATGTAGATATCTAATTAACAGTAGCAAATATTTTACCTATCATAAGTTCAAAGAGACCAAAAGAAAAAAGGTGGAAAAGAACTAAGTTAAACATAATTATGAATATTTTATAAACATACCTCTGCTGGGTGTATAAATCTCAGCATAGTCGTGCGTAGTGTCACCGTCAGTTGAAGTGTTAGGCGTTGTCGGTAGCACCACTAAATTCTCTACGGCCGCCTGGAATTTGAACAAAAATTCATTATTGTGTGTGAAATTAAGTTATTAAAACAAACGCCCATATACTGAAAGGCTACTCAAATTTAAGTAATAGGTACTTAAATATCGCGCTATCTCTATCATAACATAACATAACATCACGCCTTTTATACCCGAAGGGGTAGGCCGAGGTGCACATTATGCCACTGTACAATGTAACACCCACTTTTCACTATTTATGTTATGAATCCCATGTAATAGGGGGTGAGCCTATTGCCATATACCGGGCACAATTCCAGACTCCGCGCTACTACTGAGATTTTTTAAATCCCAGTAATAGGTACTTTGCCCGACCCAGGTCGAACCCGAGACCCCTTGCGCAGTCGCACTTGCGACCACTCGGACAACGAGGCAGTCTCTATCATTTTACATATAATTTGTAGACAGAACTATAATCAAGCGTGCCTTAAAACTGATTAGCCTTTTAGTAAGTATTCGGGCATAAATCTATAAAACTAACTTAGTTACTCACATAACCATATGGATTCTTCATTCCTCAAAAGGGGAAGTAAAGGCGCATTTACAGTGCATTTTGGTAAGTATACTTATTATTGGTTTCATGTAGGCCAAATTACCCCCTTCCCCAGTTTCCCAATCCCCGAATCTCCCACAATCCTTAAATTCCTAATTCCCAAAAGGCCGGTAACGCACTTGAACGCCTCTGGTGTTTCGGGTGTCCATGGCGACTCCGATTGCTTACCATCAGGTGATCCGCTTGCGTGTTTACCGGCTTATCTCAAAAAAAAATGTAGGCGTAAATAAGTCCAGACTATTTGTTGCAGATACTACAGATACTCCAAAATAGTTCCTATGATATTTTGTCCAACCAAGGCAAGGTCAGATTATTTAAAACTCAAAAACCAAGGTATCAGATGTTATCCAAGACTAGTACTTAACAGTGACTTCATTGTTCATCAGAGGGCAACGAGTTTGTTTTACGTATCAAGTAATCGAAACAAGACCGCGTCCGGCACTGTGATTGGTTTGTTCATTAGAACCGGCCAATCAGAGCGTCGAACGCGATATAGTTTCGATTAATTAAAGCCTCAGATGTCTCGTCAATAACTTAAATGGCAAGAAACCTAATTATATACATAAGCTACTTACCGCTAAGTCATCAGCCAATAAGCTGGCAGTAGTCTTTTCATCCATAGTCCTATTCATGGTGTTTAGGCCGGGAGGGTTGGCAGCATTGACGTTATTCGCTATGTTGGTAGTACCGATAGAAAGGTTTCGTCTATGCCGCACAGGCGTACTGTAGTGAGGCTCCGATGAATTTATTGGTAACTGTGAAATTTGAAAATGGAATTGAATTTTTTTTTTATTTTATTGTGCCCTGTATTTAGGCTTGTATTTTGGAGATTTGTAAACGTTACAACAATTAAAGCATCTAAAACAATTAAGGCTTGCTCCGTTGCATTTCATTTATTCCATAGGAACCTGATTGTATACTTTACAAAAAGTGGGTAATCTTACCAGTTAAAAGGAATTATAATATTCTCCATTTGTAAATTCACTAATGGATAAGGGAAATAGTGATGTAAAATATAAAATTGTGCAAAAAAATACATTTTGAATGTAGCTTTGCTGAGTGATAGTTAGCAAATTAATTTTAAAATTCATGTTCATAGGAATAAAGTAATAGAAATAATCTTTTGGACATAAAGTGACAGCACAATAAAAGTAACATATTTACATGTAAAGAAAGAAAGAAGGTGAGACTAAGCATATATAGTTTTTTTTAATAAACATTTATTTTCCTATTTTCTCTAATATCAAGAAATATTTATACATCACTCACTTGCTCGCCTACTTATATACAATCACCGTACACCCACGTCACGATAAAGACAAATATACACACAAAATCAGTCTGTTCTCATAAGACATTTGGATATAACAGTGCAATAATAAAAAATAATAACATCAGCGGTGATTGGTCGCAAACTAAAGGTTGCTAGCGCCCTACAGGCAACATAGAACTACCTGGGGACCCTCTAGGCTTTCTGAACGTCGACGATTTGAGGCCAATAGACTGGATGTGGCTCGGGGTGAACCGTCATCTGTTCGCACCTCAAGCGATAGGCTCGCTCGAGTTGGTAAAAACTGGAGAAGTTTGAAGTTATGTATTTTTTGTCATTTTTATACTCTATAGAAAGTTAAAATAAAGCAGTATGTATTGTTGTGAACTGTAGAAACATTCGTTTGGTATTGTTATAGCTGATTTGGATATAATAAATTTACTATTATTTTTGTGTCAATTCAAAACGTGATTTTGTGTAACTGAACATAAATTAGATATCCGATAATAGTCAGAATTAATTCAATTATTTCATGTAACTCCGCAGTTAGGCTAGTTTTTTTTAGAGAATGTAATGAGATAAGCTTCAAGCATCATGATTTAATGTTTACTCATGAGCTGAATTCAGATTAAGGCTTTTGTATTACAGTGAAATGGGACATGAACAGAATTCCATCAATGAAAATGATTATTCATATTCGTTATGGAACTTGCCAATAAAATCCCACTCATTTATTAGTAGTCAAGATATTTATTTCTTTTAGTATGGAATTTTACACCCATTCTAATAAGAACTGGAGAATTGAAGAAATAAAATTAGTATAAACTGCAATTGGTATTAAAATAACAATATTAGACACAAGTAAAATTACTCTGAAAAAGTTAGTAAAGAAATTAGTTTCAAATAGCTATACTTACAGTGCAATTCCTACTTCCAGAAGCCGCTATATGGTTCCGGAGTAACTCAAGTTGCTGGTTACAGCGGTCGTTCTGTTCCCTAAGCAGTTGGTTCTGTTGTTCCAGCTCCCGCAACTTGTTGGTCACCCACTCTTTGATGCGGGCTGCCTTTGCTTCCACCTGCTTCGCGTCCTGGAGTCTTAGCTGCTTCTGTCAACAGGATGCTTCAGTTGTAGCAATATGTTGTTTTATTACATTGTTTTTGCCTATAGTACATTCGCATTAAGAATGCAGTAAGTCATCATTGTCCATCAGCCTGGACCATTCCCTAAACTGATTTTAAATGAAGTGTATTTTTATAAATTCATGAAGATTAATCTTTTAAAATATACTTTGTTTGTATTTCACACCACTGTGAATATACCTTTATCTTACAGTTGCACTAATGATTCACTGCATTCTTACTGTGACTGTAAGGTAATAATATCATTGTGAAAGAACAGGAGTTTTCAGTTCAGTTTAGTTACTGCTCAGTTCAACAAGGCATATTTAATCAATCCCAGTATTATGAGACAAGAGCAGGAAGACCTACTAGCAGTGTGAATTAATAGTGTTGAACTCTACAATAATAGCTTACCTATTACCTATGTTAATCAATTCACTATGTTATAAATTATTTTTATAGTTTCTACAGATGTATAAAAAAACACTCAGAGTGTAAATTAGATGAGATAAAATAAAATCTGCAGAGGTTTATAGTTGTGAAAATATAGCTATACATTTCAAATAAACGCAGTAACATAAAATCATTTCAATAAACTAACGTTATCTTAGTAAAAATCTTAATGTAAAGTTATAACAGTTAAGAAATTCGAAACTAAGCATAAAGTTCACTGAATAACTTAATATAAATCCTAGTATGTAACCTAAATCATACTCGAAGGTAGTTCAAATAAAGTTATTCATATCAGAACCCGTTTTAATCTCTATTTACCTGCATTTCGGTTTATATTAGCACTTTCTAAGTTCATAGTTTTTGTCACAACATTTTATAGGTTGAGAAACACTTAAACTGTTAAATTGTGAGCACAAAAGAATTGTAATCTGTATATTACAATAACATCGTAATAATACACTGTTTAATTCATTAATTTAGTTATTTACGTAAAATAAATATCTTGTAAAGTAAACATCGCTTTGTGTTTTACTTTTACGTCACAATGACGTTTCGTTTCATTTTATGTTCAAACTCTGTGGCTGCGTTTCGTTTCTCTTTGATTCTACTTGGAAAAACCGGTTATGACGACACGGATTTTTTGGTAACGTTCATACCTGTCGTTAAAATTATTTTATAACAAACGTTATAAGTAGGTATTAGCCACATCAAGTTAAAAAATGCATAAACTATCGTTAAAATGTGATTCGGAAACATTTTAGAGGTTTAAGATTAAAATACTATAATACTAATTTACAATTCAAGTTCCATTACATACACGAATATTTAAACAGTCACGCAAAGAGCGTTTAAAATTAAAAATGTAAGTTTTTATTTTACATTTAATTTCAACTATGATACCTAAAATGAAATATTATTTAAAAGTCATACCTGTTCTTCAATTTGGCCTTCTAGCCGCGTAATGGCTCGGGGTGCACCGTCAGTGCCCGCTGGCCAATCGCACAGCCGCTGCTCCATGGCGCGGACCTATAAAAAAGGAAACAATAGGTATTATTAAAGATGTACCTGCTTTCATTATTGGATCATGATTTAAATCCGTTGAACTAATTTGGTAGGCATAATAAATACTAAATAAATCTCCACATGAAAAACCGCAGCCCAAAATAGTTACTCTGCAATACAAGCAGCTTATGTTTAAGCTGTCGTAATAAAACCGACCGCACATACCGCAATAGGGCCGGGACAAAATCAAGAGATTTAAAACCAAGCCACGATGTTGCAACTGCTGTGTTGGGATAGTTAAGTATCAAAACATTGTGGTGACTAGTTTGAAGTGAGGCTAACCGCATTATACGTGATAGTATTTTTAGTAGGATAATGTTGCACATCTTGGTGGACTGAATTTTAATTTTAATGAAGTTTTATGAAATCATCTTTTAAGTGGCAGCTGAAAAACCAAAGATACTAAAGATTTCGTTATCACATTTGCTTGTTATTACCACTCTACCATATCTGCATGTTTTCACATTACCTAACGAACAATCACAAATCCAATCAAAACGAAACAAATATTGATACTATCAGTTCAAACAATGTAAATCTGGTTTTGTTTGTATTAATAAAATGTATAGGAAACACGCGCATTCGGGCATGTTGAGAGTAGATTAATCCAATCACGAAATGGGGATTAACAAGTATTACTTTGAATTGAAACAACGGTTATCCGATGTGGATAGGATTACCATCACTTCAACCTTATTTGACTTGCCACCGGTATGGATATTGATCAAGTTCCGGAAATAAGCTTGCTACTTTGGTAAGAAGCTTTCAATATTAATGGAATGAAATTAGCGAACCATCTTGCAGCTTATTACATCACCACTCTCGAGCAAATCAATAGGTGACGAAATCCATCAAGGAAGGCTAGTCTTATTTTTTTACACATTACATTTTACTTCAGTAGTTTAAGGAAAACGTAACAGTATTTTTTTTTTTTTTTTAAGGGGGGAAAATCATCGAATGACTGCTCCCGCCTGGGTGAGGCGGAGGGGAGTGTCAGACTCTTACTGACTAAAAACCACCCCGTTCCTTCTCCTGCACGTCGAGCCGGAGCCCCGGTTACCCGTTAGGTTCTCCGCGACTCCGAATCGGCATCAGCCCTATTGGGCCCCATCTGTGGTGGTCTGATGGCTCTTTGAGGCGCGCGCGGAACGCGTCGCGCCGTACGCTCGGGTCTGTTTCTGGTCGGACGGGGAGCCACCCATGCTCGCCGTCCGCAGGCCCGCGCTTACGGTGGCCGGAGATCGTCCCGCGATCCCCGACGCCCGGTGTGTCCTTCGCGATGGCTGGGTTGCGAGGAGGCAGCGCTTCGCTGCCTCACGCGTCCCGCCTCCTCCTTAGCTAGCATGACTGCTTCGCAAAAGGAGGAGACGGCATCCCAGTCCCCCTCGCTCCGCATCATGGCCTGCACTAGGCCCGGACGCGAGAGGTCGCCATCGCCGATCACTTCCCCGAGGGCACGGCGGTGCTCAGCCCACGCAGGGCATTCTCCCACTGTGTGTTCCACCGTGTCCTCAGGGCGGTCCTCGCAGTAACGTAACAGTATAGGTACTACTGACAGCCTTTATTTTTGGATACTGCGGAAGCACCAGGGACTAGAAGGTACTAATAAAGGATAAATTAGTACAAGCATTGAACATAATACTGTGTAATAAGTACTTAAGGCCAGACATAATATGCCGGTCGAATGATCGATATGTAGATAGTACTCTCAAAATCATTGAACCATATTAGTAAGCGGCATTCCATTGGCTTCACGTCTCATTCGACACTGAATCATCGAAGTAAATACACTTCATAGTCTGTAGTTCCTTACCCCTTTACAACAGAACACATTAGCACTGTATACTTACATGCACATGGGTATTAGTAGGTACCTATGAGCCTGGTAAAGTCTTTTGTAACCCTAACGTCAATTTTTTAATGATTGCTGGCTAGTAGGTGATTGTACACCATTTCCTCTGTTGTAAAACACGACGTAAGACGATTTTTACTACTCACCCTAAAAAGTAAATTAGTTTTTTGACCCCGATACCCAGGAGGATCTTTTTGTTTCGGTTTTGATGCGCCCTTAGTGCAATTTTATGACAAAAACAGTAACACATAATTTTAGTCTAATACGTTAACCGTGGCTAGTTTTACAACAGGCGTTTGAAGAACAAAGAAAGGTGAATCGTTGGGTGAAGGATACACCCAGGAATAGCTCGCATTAATCACAAATGCTATAATTTGCCTGACTCACGACAAGAGGGGACGCTACGAGTATCGGGAACTTTCTAAATCGGGTAACACTCAGACAGGCGGCATGATGAAAAATAAGCAATAGTTAGCATTTGTTTGGAAAGATAATTGCAAGTGAAGATGGATATATTTTATCAAATATGCAAACGAGATACAGCAGTTATTTAGGCATTTTTTTCGAGTAGATAGGTATTGTAGAAAATAGTGAGAAAATTAAATGGGTGCAAAACATACGCTTAGTTCATTGCTACGCGCTGTCTAATTAAACTTGGCAGCGATTAATTGTACGCTACAAACTTCCTTGTTTATTCAGCATCAACCAGTAGTTAATTTTGTGATGACTCTGTTAGGAAACGCGTAATAAAGGGGAGGTGATTAATTAGTGTTAATTTCTGTGCATTCACAGCCTTTTTATCATTGCATTTACTGTGGAGAATTGTTTTGTATTTACAAGAATTATGTAGGTAACCACAACAATAAAATAAAATATTACCTAGTTTGAGCATTAAAATAAGTTCGATGTCACCACTAGTGATTTATGGTACAAAATAAATAAACAGCTGAACGCATCGGTAAGCGCCACCGGATGTTCTGCAAACGGTTAATTATTTTTATAGAATTAAACCGGCGACAAATTCAGCCTGCCTGTATTAACCAGAATGATTTATATAAACTTATTTAAAAAAATTGATTTGAAATGAAACATGGGTTAATTTTCCATTTCAAAATTAAGCTAGGACGCTAGGGTCATTATAAAATATCTTTTTCGGATGAGGGATTTGAGCTAGTTACCTAAGTGAGTGCTTAGTCGTTATTAGTTTAGTAAATTGGATATAAATTGATTTTGCCGATCGGATGGCATTGCTGACTTGGGCAAATTATGAACGAGAAATTGCCGGCACGACACGAAACACGACTGAGTTTATTAGATCAATTATGTAAGTATGTAACAGATTCATAGGTAGAACCGGTTAATGGTCGCATTACTAGGTATTTACTAAGATATACGTTTTATATTCGATGCACACTTAGATTCTAACATCTCAAAGCTTATCGTTTCTAATAAACAGCCACTACAGCAACTAGCAATAGACACATGATTGACGATAGAGTAACATGTTTTTTTTCACTACCGCAATCAATCGGTACTTACGTAGGTAGCTCTGACGCGATCCATTTGGATCCAAGAATAGATCAAAAGTTGTCTCAAATACTTGGATACGTATCGTAATCGGTTTCAACTCGGATGTGAGACATCCGTACTTCTTGGTATTTGAATTTGGAAGCTAAGTGGGTGGCTGGTTTTACAATGAAAATGTTTATTTTATTTTTTATCTGTGCTATGGCGGAAAAAGTCAGCTGTTCATTGACTTGACGAAATAAATATTGATTCAGAGAAAGTTGAAGAATTTAAACAATCGTTTTTATTTTTTAAAGTAAGTGAATTATCAAGATATTTTTAAAATTACAAGTGAGTAGGTATCTATAGTTAAGAAAGTTATCCTAATTTTCTTCACATATATATTTACAAAATAGAAACCTTACAGACATGCAGAAAATCTAGACAAATGTTTGTTTCACTAAAGTAAATAGAACTAGCTAAATAGATTCTAGATTGGTTTAACAAGTTCACTTGTATGGAACTTCCGAAACTAGATCTAATCTAACTTTGTTACTTTACATTTTCTTGGAAACACTTTTTCTGCGGACAGAAAGTAGAAGAACCCAAAGTAAGTACCTACATTTAAAATGTACTTGTATTGCTATGCTACCTACTTATAGATGAATAAAACTACGTAGGTACTAAAACTCAGATAAGGACCTATATTATGTTAATTTGCCACCGACGTACGTTAAAAATTTTTCTATATTTTTTCACCATCGGCTTGTTGGATCGCTAGATCTTACGAAACATAAGAATTATTTACGCAATTGACGATTTGCTGAAGTTTGTTTTAATATTTGCGAAAGGTGCAATATGATGATTGAAGTAGGTATAAATTTAAAGACAAAAGTTTCTCCATCTACGAAGCAATACATACCACCGTATGGAAATATAGAGTAGGTCTAACTTTAAATTGTCATTGGTTAGTTACATTTTATTTCAAGATGGAAGACTTGCCAACCGTGAAAGTGGGTTGGTCCCTCTTCAATCACTGAATTTCGACAAACTGTCTCTGATTGGCATTTAGGATAAATACATTTAATTCGGTTTGAACGGTTTAGGATTGTATTGTGAAAGCAAATATGGACTTTAAGGCTAAATTGGTTGGGTTGGGTATTGTTGACATCGTTAATAGAGTGAATGACTTAACTAAAAGAAAATTAACTAATTTATAATTTGTAAAATATAGGTACAACGGTGGACTCAATGCCTAGTGGCATTCTCTAACAACCTTAGGATTGTTTTATAATATTTACATCCCTGCTTACTATATTGTATAAGTTACCATACGTTTCATAAAAACATCCTTCTAAAATTATTTAGACACCACTAACAAAGGTGAAGGAAAACATCGTGAGGAAACCTGGGCTTATCCTTACTAATATTATAAATCTGAAAGTGAGTTTGTTTGTTTGTTTGTTCCACATTCACGCCGTAACTACTCAACCGATTACTTTGAATTTTTGCAGACGTAAAGTTAGAAGTCCAGATTAAATAATAGTACTTTTAAACCCGGAAAAAGTTGATATTCCCGAGGAAAAACAAAAGTATTGGCATAGATGG